AAAAATTATTCAAAAGTTTCATTGTGTCAAAAATTCATGTTTGGCATTGGATACGGAATATTTACTCAAGTCAATAGAGCGTTTTGGGTCTGAATTTTTTTACTGTGCTCCAATTTGTATGAAATTATGGAATTAGGTTCATCTTACTCTCAAGTTCCAAAGTGAAAATAATTTAGACTCCTTTGACATCAAGTTACTGGCTACTGAAATTTGGTTTCTTTTTGGCGCTTTTTATCGTTTTTTGCAAATATCTCCAAAAGTATACATTTTAACGAAAATCATGCCATGAACAAAATTATATCAATTAAAATATTAATGAATCGATGTTTTATAATGTGTCCTAGAAACTATTATGATAGATATGAAAAAGCAAAGTCGTTTTTTATTTAGTTCGAGATTTAATTGTTGTATTTGAAGCCTTCTAGGAGCGAGTTTTTACATTTTATATATTTCATGGCGTTTTACAGTACTCAAAATAAGCTTTGAAAATAGTACTGTTAAAGGTCTGTTTTTTTTTTTCACTTAAATCAATTAGTTTTATGAGTGCCATTTCCACCGAAATTACAATTAATCGTATTTCATCTAGAATTAACTTGGCTCAAGAGATTCCAAAATATCATGCAAATTAGAGCACAGTAAAAAAGGTTAAAAGTTACACCATTTTTTTTTCTCTATTTACTGCACTAATTTAGTTGATCGTTGATTGAATAGTGCACATGTGAACAGGATTTGACGAATTAATTCATTTAAAATATGAACTTAAGTAATAATGTATATCAAATTATTATTAAGAATAAATGTAATTTAGATATTATTCTTACTGAAAACAATTAATATATAGTACAAGATTATTAAAATCGAAAAATTATGGGCAACATTATTGAAGCAATTATTTTGAGTGAAAAAATCATTGAAAGGTGATATTGTACCTTTACCGCGTATACTAAATATTATTTTTTTCTGAATTTGTTATACCTTTTAAAAGACTTCAATTTCCAATACGTGTATCTTATGCTATAAATCACAAAGGCAGACGATGATTTTTTGTGTGATAAATTTGGAAAATCGATGTTTTAGTCGTGAATAAACAAAACCTCATTCATTTGTACATCCACATCTACAGGTATGACTAAAAATATTAGATAACCCTTGGCATTAAAATAAATCGAGCTATTGGAAATAAATTTGTTCAATCATTTTATTTAAAGCAGTTGTACTTTTAAGATCACCCATATGGATGTATGTACATTTCGGTATAGACTGTCTAGTCCGAAAAACATAATAATTTTTAACTATCGGTAAATCAGTATCGGTTATTAAAAAAATTGAACTTTTGAATTGTAGTCATGGGTACAGGACAACGTCTGCCGCGTCATCTAGTATATATATATATATATTATAATATATATATATTCCGTAACTTAGCTTAAAGCAAAATACTACTTACACTTAGTTAACACAGCAGTTTTTCCGACAAAAATATTATCACTCGCGCCGCAGAGTATTGCTTCACATATTACTTAGGCCGGTCATTTATTCGGTTGTAATATATATATATTGAAGAAGACAGTTAAGTCTTGGGTTTATAAAATTATTTTTTGGAGTCTCGAATCCTTTCCAAGGTAGAGACCAATAATTATCTTATATATAAAAATGAATCGCAAAATGTCTTGGTAAGCGCATGACTCAACAACGCCTGGACCGATTTGGCCAATTCTTTTTTTAAAATGTTCGTTAAAGTCCAAGGATGGTTCCTACGGCGAGAAAAAATCGAATAATTGCCGGGAAAACCCTAAAAACAGCCCTTTTCTTTTTCTCATACAAACATTTTCTAACTAAAACGTAGAATCAATTTGAGCTTTATTGCTATTATATAAAGTTCATATTAAATTACAAGCACTCACTGTATACTCCTTCTTAACGATTATGCGGATTTTGATAAATATTTCTGATGTTTGTTAAGGAAATTTTCTGGTATGTTTGTGATTATGAAGTAGTGGGATGTATGTGCAATATTGTAGAAGTAAATGGAAAAAAATGTAAAAAACGACATGTCATTGTTTGCATTGAAAACAAATGAAAACTATCATCTGCCAAAAATTTCAATTTATTTATGAACCTAGACAATATTAGAATATGTATAATGAATTTATGATTATGAATAAGAAGAATGAAATGTCTACATTATTATTGCCTAAAAGCAGCTGAGATGTGCCAGAAATTAAAATAATATAAAATACAGTATATGTATGGCAGATTGAATGATACACATATGAACAAGATATGACAAATTAATTCACTTAAAATATGAAATTAAGTATTAATCAGGGCCGGACCTACCTTTAATGCGATGCACGCGAAAAATACGAGCGCACGCCTTAGGGGGCGCCAACACAAGATTCGGATATTAAATTTTCAATATAGTTTGTTTTTAATATATAATTTATTTGCATCTTTTACTAATCTTTCCACAATATTATCAAAATTCGTAAAAATTTCACTATATAACAACAAACGGAAAAGTAAAGATGAATACATACATTCGGCGCCTCACGATATCGATTAGGAGAAGTTTAAGATGCAATTTTAGATATCTTGAATAATAAAAAAATAAATTAATTTTATCCAACATGAAGTACCAATGTTATGTTTGGGTTATGTTATACAATTTCAATTTCCAATTCAGTGTGAGAATTGAGACTCATCATTTTATTAAAGCAGTTTCTACATTTAACATCACCCATATTATGAATGTACATGCATTTTGGCGTGAGAGTAGTAATTTTAAACAATAATATTATTTTTAGGTAAACGGTAAATATTAGTATATTATATTAAAAAATTGTAGACATGGGAACAGGATAACGTCTGTCGGGTCATCTAGTTCACCAATATAAATTGAACTAGTTGTAAATTGCATTTTGCCTTGGGGCAAGTTGCATGAACCAAACGTTATTTACCAAATAAACAACTGACAAATTTTACTTAAATATCTGAATCTCAATTGATCAAGTTGACTATACATACGTATAGCGGAAAGTTCATCTACTTACAACTAGTTCATTTTATATTGATAAATTATTATTGGTCTCTACCTTGGAAAGGATTCGAGACTCCAAAAAAACTTAAAGGAAATGCTATTTCCAAGAATATTTAAAATTGGTTGCCAAAAACAAAGAAAAAAGTCCGACGTTAAGTAAAGTGTAAAGCAATATTCTGCAGCGCGTGTTAACACTTTATGTTCTATGGCAAAAGATTATAACTAGTTTAGTTAGTAACGTTGATAGCTGTTTTTGTTGACTGACTTAATTGTGTAATTGATTAATAAAATAAATATTGTTTTGAGAGAGAGGAAAATTTTACAGGTTTGATGAGATTGATAAGAAAAAATTCTCTGAAAGTTTTAGATCTTATATTAACTGAAAGATATTCCGCAATTCAACCAAAGTTTTATATGGAAATAACATAGGTAAAATTCCTTTTGATTTTTAGAATTTTATAACTTAGCGACAAGTAAATTAAAATTTTGATAAGAACAATATATTTGCTTGTTTTGATCATAAATAAAAAAAATTATTAAGATAATTTAGGAAGAAAAAGCAAGAAGACAATGCGGACTATGTTAGAATTAACATTAGGAGCTAAAACTTTCAGAGAATTGTTTTTTATCTATTTGGAACCATTTGAGCCCCTGGGAGGAAGGAAATTCGAAAACATCCATATTAAGGATGTTCCAACCTAATTATCCATCCAACCTAATTATATACACCTAAGTCTGTTTTTACACGGTAGATTGGTTCCAGAAGAATCCATGTAAAAAAAAACGTGTAAAAAAAGACATTGATCTTATACAAAAATGGGTGATTTGTTCCTAATCTCTAAAACCTATTAAAATTGGTGAAAAACAAGAATTTTTAAGAACAAGAATTAAATTAGTGCTATTCACATTTGCTTTGACCAGTAAAAATTGTTTGTACGCACTAAAGGGGAATTTACTTAAATCTTTAAGCTAGTGTTCGCAAACTATCGATACTATCGATGGTTTCAGACTTTTTTCTTTCATAAATACTTTTTTGTGATATCAACATACTTCGCAAAAATTAAATTTGACAAAAAAAATTTAAGCACATAAAATTTCAAATCGTGCTAAATGGAATAAAATCGTGTAAAAAAATTAAAAATATTCAATTTTCAAACCGTGTTATATCAAAACCGTGTACAAAAAGACCGTGTAAAAACAGACTTAGGTGTATATATATATATATATATATATATATATATATATATATTATCAGTGAATTTTTTACCTTTCGTATATTTTTACGGCCTTTATTGGGACTGTCTGCGTCCGAACCAGAACCTGCACTACTGTCGTCACCAGTTTTGACTCTCCTCCTCTTCTTTTTGGTTTTTCTGCAAATTGTACAAAAGATAAAGAGACTAAAAAAAATAATTATTAATTAAAACATAAGAGACTAGAAAAAATTAACAAGTGATAAATTGCATTGTGCCTTAATGGCTGGAACTTCCCGTAATAAAAGTAATTAATAACCAACAAAAATTGATAACAATCGTTTTAAATATTTTTAAAGAAATTAATATAAATATGTACTGTAAAATTTATCATAGACGTGATATAAAAATGAAAGGCAAGAAATGTAAACATATATGAACAAAACCTAATCAAGCCGTGTTAGAATGAAGGCATCCGACGACATAATTTTTTTTATATATATTTTTTTATATTTTTAAGATTTGTTTCAAATAACGCATAAAAATATATTAATAGTTGTGCGAGTGTGCGATGGCTAAAATAATTAAAGTTCAAATTTGATTAAAAGGGGAGCCTGCTTTAGGGGCTTCAAAAAATCACATTTTTTGAGAAATTTTTAGAGAAGGAAATAAATATTTAATTGAAACGAAACTTTCAGGTTTTATTGTTATATATCTCAACATTCTTCTCAATTTTTTTCATTGAAATATATGTCATAATGTGCCGGGTACAAGCAATTTGCCGATGCGTACTGGCGTCATTTGGCGGAAAAGATGCATGTCACAATTTCCATCCGAAACATAAAAAATCAAAACAAATATATATTTTCAATAGAATAGATTCTAGTTGAACCTAAAAAATCCAGAAAAAAAAAGAGAAATTCACCAATATTTCGTAAATTGAAAAAAAATCATGTTTTTTATACAAAATTTCACTTTTGATTGTTAAAATAGTGGGTTAATTGTAACTTTTTTCAAGTCTTTTTTAGGCTCAACTAGATTAGAATTTAATATGCAATGAATATTGTCTCGATTCGATAGGACGTTTAGTTTGTTTGCCAACTTCATTAGAAAAAATCGAAAAAATTAAAAACCGAGAAATCGCGCGTCGAAGTTTTTATACATGCTTGATGCTTGCTCACTATTTATTCTGTAATTCCGAAAATAATTTGATTTTGCTTCTGAAATTTTAGGGATATATTCTTGGCTAGTTTAAAAGACATTTTTGCAAAGAATAAAAACGATTTTTTTAAGCATCTAAAGCAGGCTCCACCGTTAATACCCAGCAACTATTATATGTTTCCTTATTTCAAAAAAATAACTTTGCGCTAAAAATTTTGGTACAATCTTGAAGAGCTTCACAATTATACGTTTAAAACTGGAATAATTAAATTAGAACACTTATTGGTGAAGTATCAAGGACTATGATGATAAAAGAAAAGAAAAACAAATATTTTCTTGACCAATCTTGAAATTTTATTATCCTATGGTAGTACTTACTTGTCAGAATCGGAACTTTTATCGGAATCGTCTGAATCTTTTTTCCGCTTGGTCCTTCTCCTTTTGGTCACCACAATATCGCTATCGCTGTCTGAATCGCTCTTATCTTTATTTTCCTTCTCATCTGTAGAAAAAAATTATAAATCAAACAAATATTCTCCTCATCTTCTTGTAAAAATAGTCAACACAAAACTTACCATCAGAATCGTCGTCATCCGAGTCTTTCTTTTTCTTGATCATTTTGATATCATCGCTGTCATCGCTATCAAAACTGATCTTATCATCATTCTTTTTCTCATCATCAGTATTTTTCTCATCATCACTGTTCTTCTTCTCACCATCACCATCTTCATTATCAGACTTCTCACTTTCCATCTCCTGATCTTCACCAGACTTCTTGTCACCATCACCATCTTCATCGTTTGACTTCTTATCTTCAGCCAACTTCTCAGATTCTTCTTCCTTATCATCGGAATCTTCACTTTCATTCAATTCCTGGTTTTGGGATTTTTTACTACCCCTTGTGCGACGTTTTATAGAACCCTTGTCTGACCTATGGTAAAAAAAATGATTAGAAAACAATTTTGGATTTGACCTCGGCAGTTGTTATAAATCCTGGTTAGAGGACTTACCGGATTTTTCTTGGTCCTTTTATGCTACCAGAATAATATATAAATATTAATATAATAAATAGTCATATGGTTGAATTTTGATGATTTGTAGAAAAGTTTGTCTAAATGTAAATGAGTATATATGTTTAACTTACATGTCTGCATCCTCTTCAGATTTTTCTTTAGATTTCTTCTTCCTTGTCTTTTTATCTTCATCACCATCTGAATCTGATAGTTTTTCGGTTAGTAAAGGATCGTTTATTTGTTTTCTTTTTGCGTCCTGGAATTAATAAATTATATTAGTTTATATCTTATATATAAAAATGGAGCTCTCTTTCAAATGTCTAAGTAAAACTCGAAAACGGCTAAACCGATTTGGCCACTCTTAGTCTTGAAAAATTCGTGTTAAGCAGTAGGTTGTCCGAAAGGTGAGATAATATTTCAAAATCGCGTAGAAACGTTACATTTTTAATTTGAAAATTTTTGTAAAAGCGTAATTTAAATAAAACAATGGACGGTGGCTAATACGTCAAATGTCAAACGTTTGTGACAGATGATGTTCAATTACGTTTAATAAGATGTTTTACGTGAATATTATTTAATTATGATTAAATTGTAGCAAGTAGTTTTGTTTGTAGTTTTATTTATACACAAAAACGTTACGGATCACAAGTGTTACTAAAGACTCAAAATATCAACTTTTTTGAAATGTTAATATGAAAATGCACTTTTTGGCATATTTTTCTCAAACACGGTGCTCTGAAAGATCTCATTTGTATAATTATATACTCTCATTGGTATTTATAAAACATTTTCTAGCTTATATTATTTTTTATTTATGTTATTTAATTTCGGAACCTAAATTTGGTATCGATCAAAGAGACATTTTCTCGAATAATATTTTTCCAGTTATAATTTCCCAGAATATATCGAAAAATAGATAGTAATATATGAAAGTCCGGGGTTAAAAAAGTCCACCACCAATGTGTCAAAAACCAGTAAAGCTAAGCATTGTTTAACAACAATATTTGTAAGTAGAGGGAAAAAGATGTATAACCAGCTATAACCTTGATTCTTATGACTTTGCTATCGGGAGATAAACGGTAATCTTTGAAAATCCATAACAAAAGTATTTTCTTCCGTTGGTAGTTTTTTAGCATTAGTTAAAAATGTAATTATTTTGAAAAATACCTTTAAAATTAAAATAAGACATTAAACGTGTTTGCCACCTGGGGTAAAAAGATCTAGATAACAAATTTTTGACATCAAAAAAGCACATTTCTACAATGATGAAGTAGCTGGCAGTTTTACTGAACGCAGTCAGATAATCGTTCGTTTTAAATGTGTTATTTGTTGTTATATAATTAGTTTGATTATTATAATATAATTAATATTTGCTCAAAGTCAAATTGGACCTTCGTGCCTCGCCCTGCTCTACATATATACTTTTTATTAAATTTACTTTAATTCATCGAATGTTACTTGAAACTTTTCAAAGAGCAGGTCAAAGAAGAAATACTTAATTCATTTTCTATCTCTCCTCGCAGAAATTTGAAAACTTTGTATAAGCTCAGTAGTATTATTTACAATTATACACAAAATCTAGAATCCAAAAGGAATCTGAAAAACTTGAAACGTAATGAATAAGTCGAAAGACCAAAAAAGACTTGGATGGATTATACCATGTTTTATATAGAAAGTGTACAAAACTTCCAGACAAAATATAGACAAACTAATGGGGTTTATTGTTTTTATAATACCTCATTGTATATAGCATTCAAACAACACTTAATCCTTATACACTTAAAGTATTAATTTATTTGATTCTCTAGAAATTGTCTAGAATATACCTTACTTAGCAAAACAACGTTTGCCGGGTCAGCTAGTATATATATATATATATATATATAAATTTAAATATTATTTTTATTACCTTATCTTTCTTGCTACTTTTCTGTTTCTTCTCAGACTTTTTCTCCTTGTCCTGGTCTTCACCACCAGAAGCCTTATCACCAGATTTCTCGTCATCACCAGATTTCTCGTCATCAGAATTTTCTTCCGGTGAATTCATCATGTCTTCGATTAGCTTCTCAGGAATGTCAACACTTTCAAAATCATTACACTCTTCATTTTGGGCTTCTGCCAGGATTTCGTCGGTGCCATTTTCGATTAAAGTGTTTGCATCATCTGATGATTCGTCATGGTGCTCTCCTTGGTCTTCTTCAGCAATTTTTTCCTCTTCGCCAACTTTTTCCTCTTCGCCAAATTTTTCTTCTTGACCATCCTTTTCTTCTTCTGGATCTTTTTCTTCGTCTCCTGAATTTTTGGGAGATTTTTTTGATGGTTTCGATGCCTTTTTGTCAGAACGTTTTTGCTCCAAGGTTTTTAAATTGGTCAGTTTGTCGATTTCGTCGTCTGAGTTCTTCTCGTCGACTTTTTGCTTCTTTGCATTGGTAGAGTCTTCTTCTTGAGACTAGAAATGAAAAATAATTTTTGAGAGAATTTTTTACTTGGGTGATTCAAAGAATATTTTACTAGGGAAATTTTTTTATTCCAAAATTTTTAAACATTTTTCTCGCAATTTTTGACTATTCTAAAAATGTTGATTTTTTTTTGAAAATAATGAAATAATTCTAATAAAAAAAATTTCAAATAAATACAAATTTTCAGAATTTTCAAAAATTTCAAAATATTAGGTTGTCAAATATCTCTCTTCCGCCTTTTTGTATTATAAACCAAGAGCAAAAAAGCGGAAGGGAGATATTTGACAACCTAATATTTCATTATTTCAGATATTCTGAAATTTTTCAGAATTTTCAAAAAATTCGAAATATATCATTATTTTCGAAAAAAAAATTAAATTTTCAAAATAGTTAAAAATTGCGAAAAAATGTTTAAAAACTTTGGAATAAAAAAATAAAATTTCTAAAGATTGCAAAAAACTCAAAATTTTCATAAAATCGTATTATTTTTTTCAAAAACAAAAATATCCAAATTTAAAAAAAATTGGAAACTTGGGTAAAAATCAAAATTTAAAAAAAATATATAATTTACATAAAACGTTTAGAAAAACAATTTTTTATAACACTATTTTTATCAAAAAATGCGAAAAAATCCAAATTTTGAAAAATTTCAAATTTTGCGAAAAAATCCATATTTTCTAACTTCAAGAAAATTAAATTCACATAAAAGTATAGTAAAACAAACCTTTCATAACAGAATTTTTTCAAAAATTTTGATTTTTCTACAAATTTTGAATTTTTTTAGAATTTGGAAAAAAATTTTTAATTTTTGAAAAAAATATTGTTATGTAAAATTTGTTGCACTCAACGTTTTAGGTAAATTATTTATTTTTTTATTATTGAAAATTTTGGTTTTATTAGATTTTAAAAATCAAAATTTTCAAAATTAAAAAAATAAATAATTTACCTAAAACGTTGAGTGCAACAAACTTTTCAAAATAATATTCTTTTCAAAAATTAAAAAATGTATACAAATTTTTAAAAATTTCAAAATTTGCAAAAAAAATCTATTTTTCAAAATTTAATTTACATTAAACGTTTACTAAAACAAACTTTATATAACAAAGTAATCCGATAATGATACTGATATGTGTTTATTAACTTCCCGTAGGTAAGTTATTGTAATGGGCCGAAAATCGGAATTGAAAATTTTAACATTTCTCGACGTTTTGAAGGTTTTTGAACGTTTTGGCATACCTCAGAAAAAATGGATGTGTGTGTGTGTGTGTGTGTGTGTGTGTGTGTGTGTGTATGTATGTATGGATACAAATTTCCAGTCACGTTTTAGGGCGCACGGATCAACCGATTTGAATGGTTCAAAAAACATTCGATTCCTATTGATAGGGAAAAGAGCTGATTAGTTTTTGGCAAAGGCAGGTCCAGCCGTTTCGGAGATACGGAGCAAAGAGTGCAGAAAATAGAAATCGAATTTTTGAGAGAACGGAGTATCTGATTTGAATGATCTAAAAAGCATTCAATTAGTAATGATTGGGAGAAGTGCTTATTAGTTTTTGGCAAAGGCAGGCCCAGCCATTTCGAAGATATGGAGCTAAATATGTAAAAAATGGCAGTTTTTGAGAGAACTAAGCGTCCGATTTAAATGATTCAAAGAACTTTCTGCTTGTCTTAACAAAATAATTGATTTTGGAAAAAAAAATTTTGTTCAATTTTTTTTTTTTTTTTTTTTTTTTTTTTTTTTTTAGTTTTATCAAAAATATTTCAGATTTTATTTTTAATTCTGGCTATAGTTCTAATATACTTTACAAATATTTTCAACTCTGCAATTCAGTTTATATAATTCTCATAAATATTAGACAATGTTACAATATTTATAATAATCTATTTGAAAACATTCAGTATTCCTCGAACATTTCGGTACGGGAAGTTCCAGCAATTTGCCTTAAGGCACGATGCCATAAATGCCTCAAGACAGAATTCCACTTACAGCTAGTTATTTTATTTAACTTATGAAAATATAAGATAAAACACCTTCATCTAAATCGGACACGATGCATATATGTTTTTTGTTTGCATTTTAAAACAATAGTCTGTTTGTACACTTTTAAGCAAAACTTTCAGACAGTGTTTATTAATTATTTTCATTCCTCGATTGTTTAATTACGGTACAAGAAGTTCCAGCAATTTGGATAAAACACAATGGCATAAAATAATAGCATGTCTATATATTTATTATACATTTAGAGATACATATATTATATTATTGTATCTATCTATTTATATATTTATTTATTTTTATATCAATCAGTTGATTTGTTTACTTTTTCATCTATTTATTTATGTTTAAATATCTATTGAATTGTTTATATGTATATCTATCTGTTTATATATTGATTTGTTTACATTTTAATTTATTTATTTATGTTTTTTCATATGTTTATATTTATATATCAATATTTTATATATATATTGATTTGTTTACTTTTTCATCTATTTATTTTTGTATTGATTCATATATTTATGTATAGATTTGTTTATTTTCTTTCTATTTATTTATGTATTTATTTATCTATTTATATATCTATCTCTTTATATAGCTATTTGTTTATATATATATATATATATATATATATGTATATATATATATATATATATATATATATCTGTTTATATCTGATTTGTTTACTTTTTCATCTTTCTGTTCATTTATCTGTATATAAATATTTATTTATTGATATATTTAAGTGTTTATATATTTGTTTACTTTATCATCTATAAGATACTTTTAATTATTAATTATTGATTTTAATATTAATACTATTATTTTAATTATTATTTATTCATTTATTTATTTTATTTCTTTTCTTTAACTCCTTTTATTTTTTTTTTCTTCTTGATTTTGATTTTCAATACCAGTTTTTTTTTTAACTTATATATTGTATTGTAATCTGATTATTAAAATTAGCAGAAATAAACAAAAAACTTTATCATCTATATATTTAAATATCTTCTTGTTTATTTTTTCATCTATTTATTTAAGTATTAACTTATATATACAGATGCATATATTTTTTATCTATCTATTTATTAATAGATAATTGATTTCCAAATTTAGCTATTTATTTTTCCAGCTATTTATACATATATATATATATATATATATATATATATATATATTTACTAAAATTAACCAAACAATGCATAGCAAATAAAAAATAATGTTTATACTTACATCATCCAAAGTTCGTTTCTTTTCGGCTTCATTACAATCACCATCTCCATCACCAGATTTAGCAGTAGATTCTTTCTGAGTGCTTTCAGGATCATCATCACCCTCGGCAGCACTTTCCTTAGGCTCATCATCATCCTGTTGGGGCTCTTTTTCACCTTCAACTCCCTCTGCCGCTTTCTCACCCTCATTATCACCATTAGAATCATCTACAAGAGTCTTATCATCATTAGAATCAGAATCAGAGTCTTTACTATCCTCATTCTTTTTAATTTGGCGCAGACTTGATTTTTTATTCCTCTCATTCCGGGTCGCTCGTGTCTTCCTCACACCTTCATCATCATTCTTACTATCATCACAGTTAGAATTCTCTTTGGCTTTATCGTCATCATCATCAGTGGAAGATCCGCTGGCAAAAGATACCCGTTTGTTGACTTTAGGTGAAGCTAGGTCTTTGAGGCTTGATTTTATATCGGGTTTTGGGATGTCGTCGAATTCTGGGACAGGTTGGATTGTGGTATCAGCGTCGGAGTCGTCTTTTTCGCATTCTTCTTCGGGGGCAGTTTTTTTGCGTCGTTCTGTACGAGTTTTGCGGTAACTTTCGAACCTGGATTTTGCTAGTTCTTTGCTGGATCGGCTACGGGGGGACGTGGATTGTTGTAACAAGTTGCCTTTAGGGTCGAAGACTTTTTGAATGCGGTTTTTGTGCATGATGGTTTTGATGTCACAAGTGACGTCGTTTAGTTTGATGAAGCTGCTTTTGGGTTTGAATAAGGGGTCTGATTGGTATATGGATTGTATGGGGTTGTAATTTGTTTTAGATCTGGGTCTGAGTTTGGGTTTTGGTTTAGGTTTTTCAGGGCTTGACACATCAGTATCACTTATTACAATGACACTTTCGGTTTTTTTAGGTTCCATCAACTTTGTGATGTCTACAACTTTGATGAAACCTTTGCGGTCTTCAGTAGCTTTATTGTCACTAGTAGCTTTATCATCACTAGTAACTTTATCATCACTAGTAACTTTATCATCACTAGTAGTTTTATCATCTATCATTTTATCAACTGTGTCCACCGTACCCTCTGGTTCGGAAATAGGCGCACCATCACTTTTATCTTCCCCTGCACTATTATTAATACTGGAGTCTCCATTAGTATCACCATTGAGTAATTTCTTACCAGGTTCTTCAACAGGTATGCCCATTGATGTAAGTAAGTCTTGTAAATCTTTAGTAGACTGTGCTTGCACATCGTCCAATTTCAATTTGGCAATCGCCACCATTTTTTTAATCTTCTCATTAGCTTTGACGACATTGTCTACAGTTGACATATCAGCATAAACCACTTTAGTGTTCAACAATTTCTCAGAACTAATAGTCAATATCTTACCAATCTCCGAAACACTCCTTAGAGCATGTGTGAGAAACTCACGGGCATTATTTACTTTTTCTAAATCCATTATATACATTTTTTCTACAAGCTTCTTGTGCCAGTAAACGATTTGTTTGAGTTGCCGCCGGCACTTTGGCAGATGGAAACTGTTCGTTGATTATTTCTAGGAAAGCATTGAATATCACATGACGTTTGAAGAGTGTTTTTGTTACTCTGGTAATTGATTTATGATGAATTTGAAACAAATTATCTACATTTTCACTCGATTGTTTTTTCTTTCCCGTCAACCACTAACAACTGATGTACCAACGCTGGGAACGTTAAAACGCGAACTATTGCAAAATTGTAATGGTTCGAGTCTCGGGTAATGGCGGTCTTAGATAAATAAACATGGCGGTCGTTGGAAACTAACGCGGGAAATTCAAATTTCAAATGGACTTTTACTACATTTGTACAAATTTTATGCAATTGGGCTTAGTAATATAATATTTACATTATTATATTTTATTTTCATGTTAAATCTTAATTTTAATGTTGATATATATATATTAGTTGAGTTTAAAGTTGCATCAATGAGTTGCATGTATGAAAGTTTGAGTTTTTCATAAGTTTATTTTATATCAATACATTTCGACCAATATCCTAGCTATCATCATGTAAAAAATAACTATGATAAATGAAACTAAGTAAATAATAATAATAATAGTTCTGTTTTAAGTGTTCTATTTAGTCTCAGACATGTTCTAGATAAGATTTCAGCTAGAAACAAAATGTTTTATGATCTAATATATGGTCTAGATAGCCTCAGACATATTCTAATTAGTCTCGAAATGTTCTAGATGATCTAAGATATGTTCTAGATGATCTAAGATATGTTCTAGATAGCCTTAGACATGTTCTAAATAGTCTCAAAATGTTCTACATGATCTAAGATATGTTCTAGATAGCCTCAGATATATTCTAGTTAGTCTCGAAATGTTCTAGATGATCCAAGATATATTCTAGATAGTCTCAAAATGTTCTAGATGATCTAAAATTATGTTCTAGTTAGCCTCAGACATGTTTTTTTCAGTCTCGAAACGTTCTAGCTAGAATCAAAATGTTCTAGATGTTCTAATATATGTTCTACATAGTCTCGAAATGTTTTACCTAGAAACGAAATGTTCTAGATAGACTCAGATATATTCCATTTAGTCTCAAAATGTTCTAGATAGCCTCTGACATGTTCTAGTTAGAGAACTAGAACCAGAATCTAGTTAGTCTCAAAATGTTTTAAATGATCTAAAAGATATGATCATAGATGATCTCGAAATGTTCTACATATTCTTAGACTAGATAAGTAGTCTGAAAATAATTTGGATATTTCGAAACGTTCTTGATAATTTAAAAATGCTCTAGATGGTTTGAAAATGTTTCAGATAGTCTGAAAATATTCTAAATAGCCTAAAAATATTCTAGATGATCCTAAAATGTTTAAAATTGGTCGAAAATGTTCTCAAAATAGATTCTGAAAATGTTCTAGATGGTCGGAAATTGTTCTAAGTAGTCTAAAAATGTTTCATATAGTCCGAAAATATTCTGGGTAGTCTGTAAATGTTTGAGATTTTTTAAAAATGTTCTAGATATTCTGAAAATGTTCTAGATAGTCTAAAATGTACAATTTTAGTCGATCCAGAATATCTGGAACATTTTCAAATTGTGTAGAACATATTTGGAAACTATCTAGGACATTCTTAGACCATTTAAATTTTTTTCAGAATACCTGAACCATTTTAAACATATCTAGAACATTTACAAACAATCTAGAAAACTTTTAGATTAACTAGAACATTTTCAGACTATCTAGAACATTTTCAAAAAATTTTAAACATTTTTATTCTCCATAGAAAATTTACAGATGATCTAGAACATTTTCAGACCATCTAGAACATTTTCAAAATCTCCAGAATAATTTTCCAAAATATCTAGAACATATTTTCAGACTATATGGAACATTTTCAAAAAATCTGAAACAATTTTATTCTAAATAGAAAATTTACAGATGATTTAAAACATTTTCAGACCGTCTAGAACATTTTCAAAATGTCCAGAACATATTTCCAAAATATCTAGAACATATTTTCAGACTATCTAGAAGATTTACAAATGTTCTAGTACATTTTCAGACCGTTTAAAACAATTTCAAAATATCCAAAACATTTTTCCAAAATATCTAGAACATTTTCAGATGATATAGAACATTTTTAAACTATCTATAAGATTTTTAGATGATCTAGGACATTTTCAGACCATTTCAAATATTTTCAGACTACCTAAACTATTTTAAAATTATCTAGAACTACAAACAATCTAGAAAATTTTTAAACTATATATAAAATTTTCAGATGATCTAGAACATTTTCAGGCTATCTAAAACATATTTCGAAACTATCTAGAATATTTTTAAATCATTTAAAACATTTTAAGACCATTTTTAGAATATATGAAACATTTTCAAAATATCTAGAAAATTTTTGGACTATCTAGAACATTTTCAAAAAATCTAAAACATTTTTCGAGATTATCTAGAATATTTTCAAATAATTTAAAACATTTAAAGACTATTTTTAGAATATCTGCAGTATTTTCAAAATATCTAGAAAATTTTCAGACTATCTAGAACATTTCAATAATATCTGAAACATTTACAATCTAGAAAATTTTCAGATTAACTAGAACATATTTTCAGACTCTCTAGAAAATTTTCAAAAAATCTGAAACATTTTTGTTCTATATAGAAAATTTACAAATGATGTACAATATTTTCAGACAATTTTTAGAATATTTGCAACATTTTCGGGCTATCTAGAAAAATATCAGATTATCAAGAACATTTTCAAAATCTCAACCATTTTTAGAAACTTGGTACAAAAATAAACAGGGGTGAAAGAAAACAAAGCTATTTTTAGAATATCTACAACATTTTCAAAATATCTAGAACATATTTTCGGTCTATCTAGAACATATTTTCAGTCTATCTAGAACATTTTCAGTCTATCTAGAATATTTTCAGACTATCTAGAACATTTTCAAACAATCTAGAATATTTTCAGATTATCTAAGAACATATTTGGAAACTATCTAGAATATTAAATAAAGTTTAACATTTACAAACTAGAAAATTATCAGATTAATTATAATTTAGAACATTTTCAAAAAGTCTAAAACATTTTCAAACTATCTAGAAGATTTACAGATGATTTAGAACATTTTCAGATCATCTAGAACATTTTCCCAAAATATCTAGAACATATTTTCAGACTATCTAGAACATTTTCAAAAAATCTGAAACAATTTTATTCTAAATAGAAAATTTACAGATTTAAAACATTTTCAGACCGTCTAGAACATTTTCAAAATGTCCAGAACATATTTCCAAAATATCTAGAACATATTTTCAGACTATCTAAAACATTTTCAAAAAATCTGAAACATTTACAATCTAGAAAATTTTCAGATTAACTAGAACATATTTTCAGACTATCTAGAAAATTTTCAAAAAATCTGAAACATTTTTATTCTATATAGAAAATTTACAAATAATGTACAATATTTTCAGACAATTTTTAGAACATTTTCGGACTATCTAGAAAAATTTCAACCACTATCAACCATTTTCAAAAACTTGGTACAAAAAAAAAAACAGGGGTGAAAGAAAACAAAGCCTTGTACTATAATCTTTATTTATTTTACAAACTTCGTAAATATAAACTAAATATTTATGACATCCGGAACAACTAGTCTATCCGGATAATTCTCCAAAACACACGCAAAAACTTTCGCAAAATTAACAACAGTCCCCGAAATAACTTTAGGAAAAACATTAACCTTCCCTTCCTTATATGTAAACAACAAACGCTTACTAATATAATCATCATACATTGAAAGATGACCAACTTCCACATACTCTTGAAAATGCGAGGAAAACATTTGGAAACTCAATCTACAAGATTCACTTTTATCCAACATCCACGCCGGCTGGTAAACGACTCTAAAATGGTAATTGGTAAACGATTTATATAAATTGGTACATAAATTTTGGAGCTTCAAAAACTCTTGTTCCATTTGTTCTTGGGATTGTAAAGTCGCGGTGAATATTTGGAAGCAAGTACTTTGCGAAGGTTCCAGCAAACCTTTGTCGATGTTTGTTGAGGGTTTGTATTGGCGTCCGGAACTGTAGTAGTTTAAGGGAAACGCTGAAGGGTACAACATTAATTTGGTGTGATATGCCATAAAACTGTACAAGGATGCCGTACCGACCAAGTGCAACTTGCTAATATCTTGGTCGGAACCATCAGGGTCTTGGATTGTGAAAAATTGGTTTAGGTTTGTGTAATCTACACCGCAACCTTCCAAAATTGCACTACGTGCAAAATCCGGTAGGGTGAAGGGTATGAAATCGTGTTGATCTAAATATCTATTGACGTGGGTAATAAAATCGATTTCCAAAAGTGCTGCATCGTTCAGCAAATAGTACGAATACTGGTTCATAAAATTTAGAAGCCCTAATTTACCGCCTACGGCGGTATGGTGTTCCGATTTGTGTCCGGGCTTGTCCAAAAATGTAAAATCCACACGCGCATCTTCCAAAGGCGTCAATTCATGTAAAACATTCGGTAACCTTAACAATTGTGTTACTAAATTCTCCTGCACGGGTTGAAAACAATCCTTAAGCATTTTCAAATCATCCCTTACAATTTTACCCTGGTTGATTAATTTAGTAAATTCGTCACCGGATTTGTCGAGTGTTTTAACTTTATCGGCGATGCTGGTTCTGCACGCGTCCAATTTTCGGCGTGTTTTGTCCAAATCTTGGTACAAAAACCATAATTTTTGTAACTCCCCGAAATCTACATCAAGATGTCTGTGTTTTGCATTGTTGGTAAAGTTATCAAAATTATTTTCAAAATTTTTTAAGTCTATATAAGGTGTTAGTAGGGCGCATGTGGCCGTAGCTTTGTCTCCTGTTACGTACAAAGCCGAGGAATAAAATCTAGGTTTAATTATTTTGGTGGTGAAAGAAAATAGTTTAGACTTAAACATGGTTTTTTATAAATTTTTATTTGTTTTATTTGTTTTTTATCATTTATTGGTTATAGGTCTTCGTCTTCTACCATTTTAGGGTCGTCTTTTGAGGGTTGTGTTTCTATTTTTCGTTTTTTAGCGGGAACGAAATTACCGTGACCGGCTGCTTTTTCTGATTCTTCGACGGAATAGGGCTCCAATTCTAGGGCTTTTAGTCTTCTTTTGTGAACCTGAAAGAAACACAAAAATAGGCATATGTTTAGAAACAAACTAATTCGTGCCTTAAAACAAATTGCAGGAACTTCTCGTAACGTAATTTGATTTTTTTACAATCTAAAATTTTGTGAAAGTTTGAAGAAATTGGATATTTGAAATTCTAAAATTTTTGAAAAAAGACTTTTTTTTGAAATTTATTTAATATTAATGATTTATTTAAGTAATTGAATTTTTTTCCATTTAAATTTTTTTGCAAACTTTGAAGAAATTGGATATTTGAGAATTTTAAAATGTTTAGAAAAAAATAGGACTTTTTTTTGAAAAATTTGGTTTTTATCTTCCTGTAAAGTAATTGAATTCTTAACAATTTATAATTTTGGAAAAAATGGATATTTGAGAATTTCAAATTTTTTGAAAAAATGTACTTTTTTGGTAAACTTGATTCTATCTTCCCATAACGTAATTGATTTTTTTTTTTCAATTTAATTTTTTTTTTGAAAATTTTGAAGAAATTGGATATTTGAGAATATTTTTGAAAAAAAAGGACTTTTTTGAAGAATTTGATTTTTAACTTCGCGGAACGTAATGGAATTTTTTTCACTTTAATTTTTTTTGAAAATTTTGAAGAAATTGGATATTTGTGAATATTTTTGAAAAAATATGAACTTTTTTGAAAAATTTAATTTAAACGTAATTGAATTTTTTACAATTTACATTTTTTTGAAAATTTTGAAGAAATTGGACATTTGAGAAAATTTTGAAAAAATTTTGACTTTTTTGAAAAACTTGATTTTAACTTTCCGTAGAGTATATTATAATAGTCGCAAATGATTTTTTTGATATATCTTCACATTTCAAAGTCTTCTGAACATTTTGGCATAACTTGAAAAAAATTGATGTAGGTGTGTGTGTGTGTGTGCATGTTCGTATATGTGCGCGGATACAACTTTTCGTTGACGATTTCGAGAACACGGATCAACCGATTTGAATGATTCAGAAAACATTTTACTTGTATTGACAAATCGAAGATCTGATTAAACTTTTGCGGAGGCAGGTCCAGCGGTTTCGGAAATCCAATAAAAAAGTAAAAAAATGCCTTTTTAGGATCAAAAATGATAATTAGACATGTACATATTAAATTGTCAGATATTTTATAGAGATTTTAATATTAAGTGCAAAATTTGTTTACAAATTTATGGGTTCCGTACCAATATTTAGCTGTTAGACTACGACGCTTCGATAATTTGTCTCTAAAACAGTTACACAGTGCAATTGCCTTGAAAAAAGTTAAAAAAAATCTAAAAATTTCAAAACGTACAAAATTCATTCTCAAAAATCTAATTTTTTCAAAGTTTCAAATAAATATAAAGCTTAATTTTTTTTTTTGCTAAATATAAAGCTTAATTATTCAATTTGCCTTAAGACACAGTGCCATACACCACTAAGTTTATTACTTATATATTACATACATATAATATTTTTTTAAAATGTTATAACAACATACATATTTTAATATAATAAATTATATTAAAATTACTATATGTATATAGTTACAAATTAATTTAGCACTTCTATTCTCACTGCTGATAAAAATCACAGCAGGGATTAACGAAAGTGCATTTTAGGTTGATTTTATTTTATTTCACAATATGCTCGAATCAGAAATATGCTTTTACGTAAGTCCCAATTGTGTAAATGTTGTAAATTGTTATAAATGAATAGACAACCATCATTACTCTCTTAAGGAACAAGAGAATGAATTACTGCCTTCAAATTAGAAATAAGACGAATTATTAGATTATAAAGAGGAGATTAAAGAAATAATGATGACTTGATTTAAAATGATAATTAGAAAAATTCCTATTAGCAAAGATTTCTTATTAAAAAAAATTCAATAAAGTAGAACCTCAATGTTCTGATTGAATACACATTTTTATAATTAAAGGTATTATATATATATATATATATATATATATATATATATAATGTCTTGTATAACACAATTCCTTCATAAGTCACAAGACTATTTAATAATAACTATGTAATCTCTTTTAATTTAATGAAACAATTATTGTTTGATTCGTATCAATTAATTAAATTTTGATTAATCATATTGAATGTCCTTCAATTTCAAATAAAAATACAGTGGATTAATATACCGACTTATACTTCATCATCTTCATTTGCAAATAATAAAAAATTAATATAAAATCCATCACAAACAGAAACGACAATACTTGGGTTGTTTTCTAAAAAAGTCTTAGCTCAATTATTTAAAGAACTCTTAGTAAAGCATTAATAATTTTATAATAAACTTGTATAAAGGAAATATAAATGTAAACATCAAGTCTCTCGTGTTATTTTTTGGTTAATTGGTTTTGAAATTGTAAGGAAGGTTAGGTCCATCATGAGAAAATCAATACTGTGGATTCTTTTACTAACGTGTTAAGAATTAAGAATAAAATACATTATAAATAGAAATGACCTTAGGTTGCTTTGTAAAAAAAGTCTAAATACAAGTTTTACAAAGGGATTATTAATGTAGAAGCATTTTAAAGAGTTCTCAGTTCCAATAGCTGACTAAATAAACTGAATATTGCAACAAAAGTTGTTACAATCAATTTGTATAAAACATTTTCTAATACGTTGTTCATAAAATGTGCTGTTAATGTTGTTTGTAATACTGATGAAACAAATTACAGTCTCATTTGGAACTTTTAAGTTTATGTTAGTGCAAAATTATAGAGTGTACATTGATCTTATTTACACAGTGTATTAATCTATTATTATAAGCATAAGTATCTATTTCCCTTACCTTTGTTTTAAAATGATCCTGCAAAGCATGATCATCTATAAAATATCTGGCACAATGCAAACAATAATGTTGGGCTGATCCAGGTTTATCAAAATCAACTTCCTGATTCAATAACTTCTCTGCATTCTCTTCCTTTAAATCTTCATCAATCTACGACAAAAATAACACACAATTATAGTAAACAACTAACTATTTATTATGTCAACAAATTCCATTACCTCATCCAAGTCCTTCTTTCTGTTCCTAACCCTCCATCTGCGTTTAAGATGAGTATCACCATAATGGTACTTTTTCCTCTTGTAAACCATTTTAATTAAGTGTTTGATTAAATAAGTAATAATTAATTATTTAAAGCGTTGAGTAAAAACACATGTTGTTGGAGAAAAACGTGGAAAATGAAAGGACTTTTTGAGGTTAAAAAGTTTGCTTTTGACAGCATTCAAAATGGAGTCGTTAGGTGTGAAGTTGATAACGCGGTAATTTTGAAATTGTGATAAATAAATATTGTTTTTTGGAATTGTTTGAGGTTTTTGATGTATATGAATATACATAAGTACATATAATGCTAATATGTATATTTATATACATATTTGCATTATACTTTGTGCATTTTTTTTACCAAACTACAAGAGGTTAAAATATATTCTTTTAAAATGGAGTCGTTTGGTGTGAAGTTGGTAACGCGGTAATTTCGAAATTGTGATAAATAAATATTGTTTTTTGTTATTATTTGAGGTTTTTAATGCATATAAATATACATATATACATATATTGCAAATATGTATATTTATATACATATATATCACATTTTGCGTAAGTTTTTTTAATAAAATACTATTTATTCCCCCGAGTGCCATCTTTACCATCGTCCACCAACCATTACTACATTCATCAAACAAAAATTGACAAAAACGATTTGACATAAATTATTAATGCATTTATTAAGTTAATGAAAGAAAACTATACAAAAACAATATTTAAATCATGTCGATGCAACAAATGTCTCCAGAAAATGTTAATTCCGAGCAAATCAAATCCGTGAGTACACATAACCTAAAAATTGTACAAGAGGTATATGAAATTTGTTTAAATAATTGTGAATGTTGATTTTCAGTTCAGGGATTTTGTGATGTCTTACAATAAATTGTCGGAGCGATGTTTTGTAGATTGTATAAGTGATTTTACTTCCAGAGCTATTAAGCCTTCAGAGGTAACTATCGATTAGTATAATAATAGATGTAAGAGCTTGTTTATGAATGCTATTGATTGTGTTTATCTATGTGATTTTTGAAGTACCTGGTAATATGATATTAATATACAAGCAAACATATCGATTCTGGTTCAGCAAGTTGAGATTATTTTATTACTAGTACTAGTATCTAGTATATATCAATTGCCCTATTATAGGAAAAATGCGCGTTAAACTGCATGGAAAAGTATTTAAAAATGAACCAACGTGTCTCCCAACGTTTCCAAGAATTCCAAATGATAGCAAACGAAAACGCCATAGCCCTAGCCCAACAATCTGGACAACTACCCAAATAGTACAATTTTTAATCTAGTAGTAGTCTAATATTATTATAATTTTATTAAATAGTTATTGCTGTTACTGCCAAATACTATTATATTTAATAAAACCACATAGATATATAAACATAGACATTTATTAATTACATACATCATCATCATCTTTATCATTATCATAATTATTTATTATTATTATAATTAATTAATAAAAATATTAAAAATTTAGAATAGGCTTGTTATAAACTAGAAGGTTTACTTAATTATATAAAATATCTATTTAGTTATAATAATATTTCCAGTCGTAGGCATAAGCGGCTAAAATAACTATTTACAATTTGTAGTACACATTAGGTCGGTGGTCGAGGTAAAAGTTTATTTATATATATATATATATATATATATATATATATATATATGTCACAAATTTTTGAAACTTTAAAAAATGTTTATATTTTTGTTTTAAACTGCTGATGTTTCAAATACTTTTATTTTCTTGCAGTTTTTTAAATTTTGAAATTGTCTCAACTTCAACTATTTTTAAAAATATTATTCCAATGTATCATCTTTTTATATTTTAATATTTTTTCAAACCTTCAATTATGAACAAAATTTTGTGCTACCTAATTTTTTATACTTAAATTTTAGAAAACTTTCAAATGCTTTTTTCTTTTTTTTTTAAATTAATGAAATTAGATTTTTGATTTTTCAACTTAATTTAAATATAAATTAACAAGTTTTTCCAAAAATTTGACATTTTTTTAGTTTCCAAATTTTAATTTTAAACATGTTTATTAATATTCCTTCTGCCTTTAAATTTGTAATAAAGTATTTGTTAAATTTTTAACATTTTCGTAAATTTTACAAAGTTTTTTAAAATTTTCTATGATAAACTTGATAAACAGTTGTTTATCAATTTATTATCCTTAAATATTCGTTTTTTAAAATTTCTCTCATATTTCATATATTTTTTTTTATCAATTTCCAGCAATTGTATATATATTTTTTTATTAATTTTCATCAATTTTAAAGTAAATTTTGATCATCTATTAAATTTTTAGCATGCTTTTTATTTAAATATTTCTAAACTTAGTCAATTTTCAAATTTACCAAACTGCAAATATAATAATTTATATTTTAAAATAACATTAATTTCTATATATATATATATATATATATATATATATATATTGTTTTTTTTAATAAAATGGTAAAGACAAAAGTCTAGATATTAAAAATGTAAACACAAAATTTAAAACAATTTTGGAAATAATATTTTTTTGCGTATTTGCAAATAACATTATTTTAAATTTCAAAATATAGAATAAAAAAGTTATCAAGTATTACTTCGGTTATTATAAACACTTAATATGAAAATTTAATACAAAATCGATGAAAATTAAAAAAATATTTTAATTTAATTTCAAAGTATAAATTTAAGAAATCATCAAAATTTATTTCGATTTTTTTTTAATTTTAAAAATTTAATACAAAATCGCTGGAAATTAATTAATTAACAATATAATTAAAGAAATATTTTTAATTTCTTTTCTAAAATTTGCAAAAATGTTAACTATTTAGGAATTTTATCATATAAACTTAAAAAATTTAATAAAAAACTTCTGGGAATTTAAAAAATATTATACATAATTTAAATAACATTTTAAAAATTAATAAAAATTTGGGCTTATCAAAATTTTTATGTAAATAATAAAGCATTACAAATTTAATTTTTGAATTCCTAAAATATTAAAATTTAAGAAAACATAATTTTTCTTTGAATTAAGTATTTAAATTTTTATTTAATTTATATTTTTTAATGTTTCACTACTTAGGAATTTTTCAAAATTTACGTAAATTTTAAACATTCCTCAAAAAAAAAAATAACAAAAAATGTTAAAGATTAAAAAAACAAATTAATAAATTTTAAAAGTTCTTTAAAATTTACTTTTAATTCCTAAAAAATAATCAGCAACTTAATAAATTAAATATTTCTTGAAATAATTAAAGATAGATTTTCTTTAAATATTCCAAAAATATTTTATGAAGAAATTATTAAATAATTTTAAAAAAACATCAAATTTTTTAATCAGTTTTAAAAATTAAATATTAAAATATTGTAAAACTTGAAACATAACGTAAAACATTATTAAAAAAAAATTGAAACATCATCATTTTTGGTTTTATCTAAAAAAAAATATAAATAAATTTTGTTTAAATAAAAAAAAGCTAAATTATTTACGAAAAACAATTTACAATATTTTTGTCTAGAATTTGTCTACATTTATTAAGAAACCAATATTTAATTATTTAAATTATTAAAAAAAAAAATGAAATAAATAACAGTTGGTTTAGGAAAAAATTACAATAAGTTTACAAATTTGCTAACTAATTTCAGCCCTTAATAAACTTAAACTATTCTTAAACCAACTTTTTTAATTAATAATAAATTATTTATTAGTTCCTTGAATTATGACAAATCTCAGATCTAGACAAAAACATTATAAATTATTGATTTTTCGTAAATAAACAAAACTTATTCATTTTTAAAAATCAAATCACAAACAAAATGCTCAGATTTAGCTCTTATAAATTTATCCTAAAAACAAAAAATCGAAAACAATGATAATAAAATTTAAAAATATTAAAAGTCATAAAAATTAAAATTAATTACAATTTACAAAATAAATATATAGAAATAGAACAAATTGAATTTCAATATTTAAAATCAGCATGTTTAAATTTGTTTAAAAAAAATTATAAATATTTTTTAAAGCATCAAAAATTTGTCATAATAGTAATTAAAATATGTCATATATATATATATATATATATATATATATATATATATCATTTTATTCTTAAATTACATACCTCATTTATATTCGAGTTATAGCATCATCATCTACTTTAAAGCATGCACCATTAAAATTTCCTTATTAATTCTAAAGTCATCCATTTCGTCAAATTAAAATTAAAACAATTGTCTGTATAATTGCACAACTTACCAATAACTTTAGCATTATAAAAATACACATTTACCTTCTAGGCACTCCAGTAAAATCCTCTCTGTTTCCTCGACCACATAATAAAATAATTTAACTATCACAATAATTAAGGCTTAATGGATCCAATAGCCAAGTCCACTAATAATAAAGTTGATTAATTTGTAATGGTATGCTGCACATAACCATTAGAATTCGTTGTGTTCAGTTTTGTTTTGGGGTTAATATCAGTGTTTAAAGTAACGTAAGGCAGGTTTGTGGTTTTGTTCACTGGTGGCGAGGTTTGTTCTAGGTTAGGGATTTCGGCAGCTTTTACGTAACCTTTAGGTATTGCTGATAAGTTACCAACACGTACAGGACTTTGTACTTTACTCGTATTCGGGGTAGCTTCCACCACGACGTACCCTGGTGCAGTTTCAGACCTTTTCACAGTCGTCTTAATCTGGGACATCGAATCATCGTCATCCTGGCTATCATCAGGAGTATTCGGTGCCAATAATAACCTGGTAGGTTGTTCCACTCCTGGTAAACACGTTATAGGCAAATACCCACTTGTCAGTTTATCACCAGGAGGCAGTTTCGTGTAAGTCAAGGTGCTGTCGGCGTTTTCTGGACTGCTGGTGTCTTCAAGGGGATTCAAGTTGGCACATTCGAAGGATTCGTAGGGTTTCTGGTGGTGATTGTTGAGGTTGTTCTGTTGCATTGGCATTACGGCCTGGACGTAGCCGTTGGTCGGTTTGTTCTGGTTGTTAGTTTCGGCGCCTACTCTGCAGTATTTACCGTTGTGGGATAAATAGTCATCTGGGAAATAGACGTGGGAATAAATATTGTGATATTAAGTTAGCTAGTAGTTAGCAATAAGTTCAAGCTTGGAGATAGAGGTGTTAGTCCACAAAACAATTTGTAAATAAGATGGTTGTTGTGATTGCTTTGTAAAGGATGGAGATGAATTACAGAGTTAGTGGAAAAATTTGGCGTTTTAGATAATAGTAGAGTACAATTTACAGAGTAATAAATAGAGAACATAAATATATATATATATATATATATATATATATATACTAGCTGACCCGGCAAACGTTGTTTTGCTAAGTAAGACATATTATAAACAATTTCTAGAGAATCAAAAATATTCATACTTTAAGTGTATAAGGATGTTTTGTTTGAATGCTATATACAATGAGGTATTATAAGAACAATAAACCCCATTAGTTTGTCTATATTTTGTCTGGAAGTTTTATACACTTTCTATAGAAAACATGGTATAATCCAATCCAAGTCTTTTTTGGTCCTTCGACTTATTGAATACGTTTCAAGTTTTTCACATTCCTTTTGGATTCTGGATTTTGTGTATAATTGTAAATAATACTATTGAGCTTATAATTTTTTTTCATTTTTTTGCGAGGAGAGATAGAAAATGAATTAAGTATTTCTTCTTTGACCTGCTTTTTGAAAAGTTTCAAGTAACATTCGATAAATTAAAGTAAATTTAATAAAAAGTATACATGTAGAGCAGGGCGAGGCACAAAGGCCCAATTTGACTTTGAGCAAATATTAATTATATTATAAAAATCAAACCAATTATATCACAATAAATAACAAATTTCAAACAAACAATTATCTAACTACGTTCAGTAAAACTGTCAGCTACTTCATCATTGTACGAAATGTGCTTTTTTGATGTGTTTCAAAAATTTGTTATCTAAACATTTTTACCCCATAGACGGGGTAACTTGGAACGGCCAGGTGGCAAATAGGTTTAATGTCTTATTTTAATTTTAAAGGTATTTTACAAAATTACTACATTTTTAACTAATGCTAAAAAACTACCAACGGAAGAAAATACTTTTATTATGGATTTTCAAAGATTACCGTTTATCTCCCGATAGCAAAGTCATGAGAATCGAGGTTATACATCTTTTTCCCTCTACTTTCAAATATTGTTGTTAAACAATGCTTAACTTTACTGATTTTTGAGACAGCGGTCGTGGACATTTTTAACCCCGGACCTTCATATATTACAATCTATTCTTCGACAAATTCTGGAAAATTATAAATGGGAAAATGCTATTCGACAGAATGTCGAATAGGTTGATCGATATCAAATTTAGGCTCTGAATTTAAATAACATAAATAAAAAATAATATAACCTAGAAAATGTTTTATAAATACCAATGAGTATATAATTATACAAATGAGATCTTTCAGAGCACAGTGTTTGAGAAAAATATGCCGAAAAGTGCATTTTCATATTAACATTTCTTCACCCCTTAAGGGTACTTCACCCCTAAATTTTTTGTTTTAATGTTTCGACGATTTTATTTTATTTTCATTTTTATACAATGTGGCATTAAAAAATACATACAATTTCGAAAAACTATTTATTTTTGTCAAGGGTTGTCCACCTTTTTTTTTACTTTGGAACCAATTTTCTATTAATTAAAATTACAAAATATCACGTGTATTTATTTCTTACCTGAATTTAAACAAAATCCCAACATTTTCAAAAAAATTTAAAAAATTTACAATATTTTCTCGTAACTAAAAATACACGTGATGTTTAGCAAGGGTAGCGGTACAAAAATCCTTAAAAAATCGATCACGTGATTAATAGACGCCCCGAAATAGCCATTTTAGTAATCCAATAATTTTTCACCACTTTTTCAGTCCGTAAGTGTTTTTTTACTGAATAATAATATATATTTTCTTAACCCGACGATAAAACATGAATTTTACTTTAAAAAAAATTATAAAGGGGTCCACTCATCCCATTTTCCCATTGTGCAAATATTTCCCGATGCGCACAAACAGTACATAGTTGATAAATGTATCACATAAAGAGCAATTTTCGCAAAAAATAGAGAGATTGAATATTAAAATCTAAAGATACAACAGTTTTTGATAGGGAACTATGGGTACCGTACAAATCTATGGCAAAGTTGTAAAATTTTCCACTCTCTCAATTTTTTTCAATCTTAGTCAATTCGCTTGGGCATGCCATATAACAATATAATTTAAAAATAAATTTTCGGATTCAAAAATTACTGAATTAATCAAAAGCACGGTAAAAATAAATAAAAATCTTGAAACTTTAAATGTGCAAATTCAATTTAAATAGAATCAGTTTAAGATTTATTAAGGGACATTTATATGTGGCATGCTTTGCAGTGGGTAAACTATTCATAATATATTTTTTGTTAGCTGCTCCTTTCACTTATGCACCACATTTGCAATCAGTTGGTTTGTTAGTATATAATACATTATAAAGAATATAATGTATTATATACTAACGAATATATTCTTTATAATTTTAATAAATTATAAAATCTATTTTTTTTATATAACTTACTTGATGGTTTCTTCTGCTCATCATCCAAATTCATCCAATCATCATTTGGTGACCTCGGTATGTCTTCTAATTTGATCACAGTCATTGCTGGATCTTCGGCAGTATTGTGGTTTAATTTTGACCATTTGTCACCGATTATTGGATCATCTGAACGGTTGTGCTAAAAAATAAAATAGATAATTTATATATAAAATAGATAATTGATATATAAAATATAAATTTTGGTAAAAATGAGAGGAAGAAATTCCTAGAAAAATGGAAAAGACGGCAGGGTCATTTTTTTTAAATTTACACTGGAAAGTTTGAATTTTTTAGGATAAATATGAAACTACACATTGTACTTAGATTTGTTTTCATAAATCAATAGATGGACATATCAATTTTGTAAATAAAACATTAAAGTCTTGATTAACATAAATAAATTAAAACAAAAAAAAAACAAAATAAATAAAAATAAATCCATAGATGTTTTTGATTTCAGTCAATAAAGTCAAGATATTTTAGAGAAAGATTACTTAAAAAGACAAAATTTGTAATTTTCAAAAAATTATTCAGAAACTATCGTTATTATTACATTATTATTTTTATAATTTTTTATTCAGAAATATTTTTTCTATTTTTTTTTCACTTACTGTTCCTGAATCGTCAGCACTCGATTTTGAAGAAAATGTCGAATTTATGGTCGTATGAAGGTCGTGAGAGGAAAATATCTTTCCATTCTTTTGTGGTAGAAGACTCTGAAAATATATTAATTAAATAAATAAAAATCAAAATTCATCACATTTAAAAACGACTCCTACTCCATTGCTTTAAATTGAATAATTAATTCACTAATCTGTACTTTTTGTAAGAAAAAACGTATTTTTATTATTTTATTATAAACTTGTGATTAAATTATTTTATTTAACGACTTTGTAAAAATAATAATTTATAAAATAATAATTTACACTACATATACCGGCAAACTTAACTTTAAATTACATACATATATATAACTCATAAATTTCATATATACGAGGTCTGTTCAAAAAGTACCCGGAATTTTCGTTTTTTCAAAAAAATATTTATTTATTCGTCTACATTAATGTGGTCCCCTTCAAAGTAGTCCCCCCCAGATATAATACACTTATGCCAGCGTTTTTTCCAATTTTCGAAGCACCCTTGATATTCACTTTTTGATATGTCCTTGAGCACTCTCAGCGATTCGGCCTTTATTTCTTCAATCGAGGAAAACCGCCGTCCTTTCATGGGTCTCTTCAACTTTGGGAATAGGAAAAAGTCACACGGAGCCATATCTGGTGAATTTTTGCACTTTGCAACACTTTATTTCATTTTTTACGCAAAATTTAATACAAATTCTTTGACTTTTCAATTCTTCCATTGTAAAAATCGCCGAGCTCAGAAAAACACGTCGAACCTTAGCGACTACCACAGACAAAGTAAACAGTGAATATAGCTGAAAATTTCATCATACTTTAGGGGCATGTATACCAACACAATAAAAAAAAAATTTTGACAATCAGACACTCCAGACCCGCGAAATTTAATTATTAGTAATTCCGGGTACTTTTTGAACACACCCCGTATAACTCATTTTTCTATTTTATTTCTGTACTTTTATGATTTTTCCAACAAAACTAATTATATTATATTAGGAAAAAAAATGAATTTTGGAAAATATTATATTATTTCATTAGCTGGCTAAATTGTAACAATGTCGTGCGATTATTAGTAAAATTTATCAAAATTTCAAAAATTTTCACCTACTAAGATGATTTTATATTTTTTACTTACCGTTTCGTCGAACAGGAATTTATTGTCCTTGCTTGCCTGCAATTAAAAATGAATGAATTAAAATTTAATATAACATATATATATATATATATATATATATATATATATAAATTATAAATGTTAATAATAATAATACTTACAATAGCCGAAGAAATTCCTGGTGGAAGTCTCACTTCTATCGCTTTCAGGTCTTTGATATAAGTGTATGCTCTGTAATAAAAATAATGGATTTAGTTTAAAAATTCAGTATATAATTATATAAAAACATGAATATATATATATATATATATATATATATACTACCTGACCCGGCCACATTGGATTATAATTTAAGAAGTTCAATTGGCAGATTTCACTGTATTTATTTTTAAATTGGAGATTCTCAATATGCATTTAAATAATTTCTAAAAATCGATTATCATATATCAATAACGTTTAAAATTTAGTGTTGTAATATATAGGTAATTCTAAATCAAATTTATATTTATTGCTAATTTTAAAATTAATAAAGTACTATAGTTTTACTAGAATAGTTCGTGTAGAACAAATTTTGAAACTTTAAAAATATAAATTTTAACAATTCTTTTAAAAGTCAATGACTTAGTGATTATATTAAATTATTAATAATTAGAATGTTTTTCTTATCTATTTGTGTTATACAAGGGTCTAAGGAACTCAATGACTACAAGGATAAATCAATAAAACCACAATTTTTTTTATAAAAAATAATTATATTCCATAATATCATCATCCAGAGTCATTTTGTTCCTTGACCATGTTTCACACCAACGACAAAAAAACGAAATAAAAATAATAATAATTAGAATGATGTGTAACAAAGTCGTACATTTTTTAGAAATAAATACAATAGAATAAAAATATAATTTTTTTCTAACTTAATAATAAAAAGTTAATAAACTAAATATTGCGGGATTTAAAATTGCACAAATGTAATTAGTAAATTGTAATGATATTTTTTTTTGTATATGTATTTATTTTTAAAGCGATTTTAAACTACACCGATATAATAGATTATTTAATTTCCTATACTTTTTCCAAATATTTTATATGTTTTAGACGAACCGTTTAAAAATTACTAGGTATTTAACATTGTAGATTATTTAATTTTGTACAATTCAAATTAAACCGATAAACTATAATTAAATGCATAAATGAGTCGCCAATTTACAATTATAGTTTATATATAGTTAAAAAAATAATTTAAAAAAATACAAATATGTATCACAAAAAATATTGCAGACGAGCAATCAAAATCAAAATGTTGCTCTTATAAAAATATATTGCCAAATTTCTCTTATAAAAATAACACCCATCCTGCTTATTAATTTTTTTCAAAGATTGGCCGGGCCGTTTTTTCCGAGGAGTTAAAATCACATTTTTAGTCACAAATACACTGATACATACATACATATGTACACGAATGAGAATTTATAGAATTCTAGAGCCCTCCCCTCATAAAATAAGGGCTAACTGCGGAGTCCGACTTACCCAGATAAAAGACCTAGTCTAATACTATTCAAAAAGACTTGAAATGTTGTCTCAACTGATATCCTTCGAACAATTTACGATTTTCAGAATCTTTGGGTGAAACCGTTTACGTAAAATATGCACATGCAATTTTTTAATTTTAAAGAATAGACTCGGCCGATCATCGCACAAAACTAATAAACTAAAGTCCTTAAAACAATGCCTTTTAAAGAAACGGTTAAAAGTTTCTTTCAGAGTAAACATCGACAAAAGGTCAAAAATCCGCTCGCATACACACACACACAGAAAAAAATGTTGTATTTTGAAAATTATAAAGAAACGGCTCAGCCATAACTAATAAACTAAAGTCCTTAAAATAATGTCTTTTAAATATTTAAAATCCGTACAGCTGTTTTTGAGAAAACGTCGACAATAGGTCAATATTCGGCTCACACACACACACACACACATAGTTTGCCAATTTCGGTGCCAAACGATTCAGAACGACTTCAAATGTCCCAACTGATTTATTTCGAATGATTTTTAAATTTTTAAAATCATGGCTCAGGATTTTTGGTAAAATCGTTAAAACAAGAAATATATTGAAAAGACCGATACATTCATGCGCATGACACACAAATGGGAATTTATAGAATTCTAGAGCCTCCTCCCATGATATAATTTACGATTTTCAGAATTTTTGGCGAAAAATATGTTGCACTTATTTGCAAATTTAAAAAGCGTCTCAAAACAAGAAATATATTGAAAGGACTCTAAAAAATGTTTTTTTTTTAAATTTATTAACTTAATTATTAACGAAATAATGAGTCTCTACGATGAACGTACTTAAAGTACTTCATATATTTAATTTTTTTAAAAATTAAACTACTTTTCGTAGGCCTATAATATTTTACACGTTTGTATCACATCACAGGAAAAATTTGAATTTAGTTTTATTATGTTAACAATGAAGTAAATTTTTTTAAACTTTGTAAAATGCAAGCATATTTTTTATCCGATGTCTTACCATACTCTGTAATCGACATATATACTCGTCATGAGCTCAATTTGTATACTCAAATTTTGACTCAGTCACATACACGCACACTAGAGTGGTCCTTAATATGGACATTTTCGAATTTCCTTGCTCCCAAGGGGCTCAAATGGTTTCAAATAGATAAAAAACAATTCTCTGAAAGTTTTAGCTCTTAATATTAACGTTTAGATAGTGCGCAATTCAATCAAACTTCGTATGGAAATAGCATAAAATTTTTTTTTTAAATTTTAAAAATGTTTTTTAGATGTAATTTAGCGAACAAATGAATGAATAAAACTCATTCATTTGTCGCTAAGTTATACCTAAAACATTTTTTTTAATTTTCAAAATTTTTTCTATACTCTTTCCATACGAAGTTTGATTGAATTGCGCTTTATCTAAAAGTTAATATTAAGAGCTAAAACTTTCCGAGAATTGTTTTTTATCAATTTGGAACAATTTGAGCCCTTGGGAGCAAGGAAATTCGAAAATTACCATTTTAAGGACCACCCTAACGCACACACTCATATTTTTTCCAAATTTTCTTGTCAAATGATCAGATCTTAATAAATAAGTTTCGCATCAGCATTAGAATTAATTATCATTATTTTGTTTGTTATTATTAACAACAATTAGAATTTGATAGAATCATAAGCTGGTTCTTAATGACGCGGCTTTAGATTTATTAGATGGCAACCCAACGGTTGGCATATCTCTTTTAAGCAAATTTATTCCAACAATAATTGCAATAATAATAGTTTATTTAGAAATATATCATCTATCTATATTTCCAAGCAAAAACCGATACAACCACTGCTTGACATCAAGCTATCCGATTGATCTTTCTTATCATATTTCGAATTCATACACCCTTCTACCCTCATGCACGACCCTCACAGTGACCCTATCCAACAGCTCGTAAACTACATACAACAAAGTCAAATTAATAAAAATCACTACGACTAATAATTGCCTAGATGATGACCTTTTGCAAGCGAAACCTGCCAGGACAAACAGGACAATTCCTCCGATGATGCTGAACGTTGCCACAACTCCGGTATATCTGTTTTCGCCTTTGAAACAGATATCGCCGTAGGAATCGCTCCAGTTGCCTCTATAGTAGATTTGTTGTCCTGGTACTTTGTTGACGGCACGCACTTGGAACGAAAACGTCGTCTGGGTGTCGTCGTCGCAGAAGGCGTCTGGTAGCTTGAATTCTGTCCCTGGGAGAAAGGAAATATGTTTATATATATGGATATATATATATATATATATATATATATATATATATATATATACTAGATAACCCGACATACATTGTCCTGTACCCATGACTACAATTCAAAAGTTCCATTTTTTTTAATAACCGATACTGATTTACCAATTAGTTAAAAATTATTATGTTTTTTAGACTAGACAGTCTATACCGAAATGTACATACATCCATATGGGTGATCTCAAATGTACAGCTGCTTTAAATAAAATGATTGAACAAATTTATTTCCAAAAGCTCAATTTATTTTAATGCCAAAAGGGTTATCCAATATTCTCAGTCATACCTGTAGATGTGGATGTATAAATAAATGACTTTTTGTTTATTTACGACTAAAATATCGATTTTCCAAATTTATCTCACAAAATATCATCGTCTGCCTTTGTGATTTATAGCATAAGATATATGTGTTGGAAATTGCAGTCTTTGTTGCAATAAAATTTCGAACGGAATCAAAAACGACTTTGCTTTTTCTTATCTATCATTATAAAACACCGATTTATTAAGATTTTAATTGATATAATTTTGTTCATGGCATGATTTTCCTTAAAATGTATATTTTTGGAGATATTAGCAAAAAACGATGAAAAGCGCCAAAAAGAAACAAATTTTCAGTAGCCAGTAACTTGATGTCATCCCCCTGAGAAGTGGCAAGAGTCTAAATTATTTTCACACTTGAGAGTAAGATGAATCTAATTCCAAAAATTCATACAAACTGGAGCACAGTAAAAAAAATCTGACCCAAAACGCTCCGTTGACTTGAGTAAATATTCCGTATCCTATGCCAAACATATGAATTTTTGACACAATGAAACTTCTAAATATTTTTTTAAATGAGTAATTTTTTTTTGTATTGTGATTTAGTAAAGTAAGGCAAAACACGACTGCATTAGTTAAAAAATAATAATCTATAAAAAATCCTAGAAAATTCCCTTAACAAACTTCAGGCAGATTTATCAAAATCCGCATAATCGTTCAGGAGGATTATCCTTTCATACTTCATTACAGAAGAATTTTAAATATAATATATATATATATATATATATATATATATATATATACTAGCTGGCCCGGCAAAAATAAAAAATATTTCTGGAAAACTTTTAGTATAAAAAATAACTAAGAAGGTGTCCATTAATCACGTGATCGATTTTTTTAAAGATTTTTGGACCGCCCTCCCCCTTGGTGATATTCAAAATTGTATTTGAGTGCAATTTTAGTTACGAGAAAAATTGGATTTTTTTTCATATTTCTTGAAAATGTTTGCATTAAAAAAAAATTAGGTAAAAAATAAATACATAGTGATATCTTACTAGTCCCGCCCTTTCCCACGTAATATTTCATGATTTTTTGTCAAATCAAAATAAAAAATTAATTCCAAAGATTGATTCCAATATTTAAGTGTCAGGGTTAGACAACCCTTGAATATAATAAATAGTTTTTTAAAATAAAATTTAAGTTTCTTCACAAACTCTGAAAAAAATCTGAACTAAAATTAAGTCAAAAACATTAAAAACTAAAAATATAAAAAATATAAATGTAAATATAAATATAAATAAATTACCAAAATGATTTTAACGAAATGAGGATACGTGATAGTAGGGTGAAAATTTAGGGCTGCGTGTGTTCTTTAGTTACGAATTATAAAAAAATAAAATAATAAAAAAATGTTCTAAAAATAAAATAAATCTTAAGGGCGTCCAATTCTTACTACTTGGAGGTATGAAAAATATATGTCCTGTTCTGAACGTGATTATAAAATTTTATTAATATCGGTGAAGACGTTTCGGAAGAGTATTGACAAAAACACCATGACATGAGAATTTTATATATATATATATATATATATATATATATATTATATTTAAATTTCTACTTACTGGTTGTATTGTAGACATCCTCAGTAGTTTTTCCATCGGTTATTCTAGTGAATAATATTTCATAACTATCTAAAGGTCCTCCTCGATGCACCGGAGGATGCCAACTAGACATGAATGTTGAACTGTTGAAGCGCAGTATTGATATTTTACCAGGATCTATAGAAATAGAATAAGAATAGTAGTAATATTTAAATTTCTTATAAAATTCTTGGACTAACATTAGTCTATTGTATTGTAATTTAATAATACAATACAATACAATAATGTATAATTTAAATAAGTAATTTTACTTACATGTTACAAGCGTTTTAACTTTCAGTTTGTTCGAATCATTTGAACAGGACACCGTGCATGCCCTCACGTATATGTAGTAATCTGTGTAGCCATATAAATTGCGTAAAGTTATCTGAAAAAAAAAAAAAAATAGTTTGTATATACAAAAAGGATAAGAATCCTTCAATATTATAATTTAATATTAATATTATTATTTACCTGTCTTTCGCTGATATTCTGAAAAGTTTCCTCTGACCATCCAAACTCACTTCCATAGCTGACTGTGTAATTTTTGAAGACTCCGTTTATCTTCAAAGGAGCATCCCAAGAAATTGTAATCGAATTATTTGTGACGGCATCTTGTCTCAAATTGAGTGGAGGAGTTGGCGCTGAAAAAGAAAAAACAATTATAAATAAATAAATATATATATATATATATATATATATATATATATATATATATATATTATTTCTTATTTACCTGCTTCCAATGTTGTCAAATATTTAGGATTGCTCGGCAAACCCTCTTTCTTATGTGAAACCACAGAAACATTGACTTGATACGTTGTATACGGTTTAAGTCCAGTTATTGTAGCCGACATGTATTCCTCCTTAGGCAGAATTGTTTCGTTCATTTTTGGACCTAAAAGAATAAATTAAATTAAAGCCATCAAACTTATGTTCAGGATTATGTATGTATTATATTTTTACCTTCGCAATAACCATCAGGTGAAGTTAGAACACAGTAGTAAATTTTGAATGAGGTAATCACGCCCATTAATTCAGAACATTCCAAAACCCAACTGAGATTCACATAAGTGTCTCCTATGTGATCGATTCGGACAATGTGGATTTTTCCAACACCTGAAATAAAGTACAAATTTAATAAATGGTAATAAATCGATTGATGATATTATTTATCTTTCAATGATTAATTTATTACCTGTTTCGAGTACAGTACATTTGGCCCATTTCATTCCACTGTTCGATGTCGGTGTATTGACTGATATTGCAAATTGATAATTTTTATTTGTCTTTACAGTTACATTGTGTGTGCTTTCGTTTGCTGGTACTGTGTGCCATTCTAAAGAATTCTGGAATAATGAAAATATAATTGAGAAATAAACTAACATTCACCAATACTAAAAAGTTTATATAAAAAACTAGAAAGTTAAAATTAATGTTAAATTATGCACTCAAGCATTTTCAAAACAATTCTTAGATATTTGATTCTTGAATTCAAAGAAAAATGTTCCTATAAATAACCAAATTTTAAAATTAAAACAAATTTTTCTAGTTTTGTAGTTCCATCTAATAAAGAGTCAAATTAGGATTCAAATCGTCTAAAACTTAGTAATTTTTTTAATATTATTTAGTTTTACTATTTATTAACTGGAGGGATGCCATTAAAGTAGTTTCTTATTTATAATTATATATACATGTATATATATATATATGTATATATATATATATATATATATATATATATATATGTATATATATATATATATATATATATATATATACGTGTATATATATATAAGTTTTCTACTCACTGGACAAATGGTAGGCCTTTCAAATCCACTCTGGCACCAGAAAATGGTGTAATTTGAAATATCATCAACACCATCGGGTCTTTTCCAGGACAACAGATAAACATAATCGCTCAATGAGATCTTTGTGAACAGCTTTGGCTGACTCACAACTGAAACAGAAAAATACACATGAAATAAATTAAATAATCATATAAAATTTGATTGAAAATTCAAATATCGAAATTAACAAATCTAAGCAGAATAACAAATTTCGTGGTTTTTCTATAAGCATTTTAAAATTTCACTAATGAGTGGGAATTATAGAATTGTAGAGCCGTAAGAACAAAAGACAAGAGATAAGCAAAAGCTTAAGTTAGTATTGTTTATTGAGTCCAACATATCCAGACAAAAAACCTAGTCTGGTATGCCTAAATGCATTTCCTTCGCCATACAAACAAAAACCTTATATAAATTGTTTTCCAAGTGGTTTTGTATTATAAATTAAACTAAAATAAATTAACTAGATCATTATTATACTTTTTTTTACTCACTTCTATCTGATCTCGGCACGTGGATCAAGGAACTGTTATCAGATTTTCCTTTTTCGTTAACCGAAGTCAATGAAAATTCGTATTCTTTGTCCAGGTCCAAATTTGTGAAGTTTGCATAGTTGTTTTGGATTCTGTCGGGTAGCCTGGGCCTGAAATGATGAAACCAATGATTTAAAAGATGTTGAAATGTATGATTAATTAAATAATTAAAAAATAAATGATATATAAAATAAAATAAATGGTATCAGTTCGTTTATTAATACTACGTTTGTCCAGAACAATAAAAGAAGATTCCGCAAAGCGTCTTTGTGAGACTTTCGACTCATAATGAAGAACCTTTTCGTCATAAAAATTGAGCGGACAAACGGTGATAACAGAACATGCAAAAATTACCAATATGTTCTAAATAATGTTTCCCAATTTGCATCGAATACCTAACTAAAACTTTAGAATCAAAATCAATTTCATAATTATTTTTGAAGAGAAAAAATAGATTTCTTTGATTATTTTTATATTTATATGAAAATAATGCTGTGAACCTTATATATGAAATAAGAGTAAATCCTTGTGTTTAATATTTTTCACAAAATAATAATACCTCACATTCTTTTATTATTTCCTTTTCGAGAATTAATTATACATCAGGTAGTTTGATTAGCATACTATTACTTTTACACAATTATAAAATCATAATTGCGTAAATGTTATAATATAATACTAAATATTTTTTAGCTGGTTGTATACCATTGAAAGAGCCCATTTACGGACAAACATTACCGGATACAGAATATAGAATACAAAATAGCATTATTTTGAGACATTATATACCTGGAAAGTCCTAAAACTGGCTGTGAGACGAAAAAAAAGACCACTTTTTTCGACACAAATCTTTGTATTAGTAAAAAATCTCAAGCAAATGTCTGTACGTGTTAAAAGATTTAGTACTAATTTCGGAAAGTCGGATATTACAAAATCTCCGCTCGGTTTCACTTCGGAGTGATAACTGACCCATATCTAGTAATTTTTTTAAAAAATCATTACAAACTTCACTTCAACATGAGTGTAATAAAAAAATAATAATACTGATCCGATCAGCACAACTGAAGATAATTAATTTAACCCAAAAATTGAGCAAAAAATTCATATTTCAATCGTAAATATTTACGTAAAAAAAAATCTGCAAAATCCTGAAATACGTGTCAAATGATTTTATGCATAATATCTGTAAAAAAAACTCAGACAATTTTAAAATGGCGAGGTCTGGATGGTGTACGGTTTGTAAAAGAATGATCAATATATAAGATTTACTTACAGCATTCGTCCATTTTCGCTAATCTGGACACTATACTTGAAGTCCCTTCCATTCTTCTCATACTCCTCCAAAGTCTGCCAATAAATAATGACATCCCTCATTCCAATCTTGTTGACCACTTCGTAACTGCTTATGACTGTATTTGGCGGCCTGGAAGGCTCTAAAAAAAAAACAAACAAACAAATCACCAATCTGGTCACAACCAATTTTATTTTATCCAACTATGTACTTACTTTCTGGTAAAGTTTTAAAGAACACTGATCTGTACTCGGACCATTTGCTGGTTTCATTTGGAGCTACTGCAGATTTTATTTGGACTCGCACTTCGTACAACGTGTAGGCATATTTTAGGTCTTTCAATTCGAATTGGTATTGGAGTTCGGATTTTATTGGGATCGAAGACGTATCAGCAACCTGGGATAAAAGATAAAATATTTTAAAATATATTTTGAAGTAAAATTTCGTTAGGCGCTACTAGGGTGTGAATCCGTACAAATGCAACGGAAATTGTTACGGCAAGGTCAAGTGAAAGTCATTCGCTCTCGATGAAATCATTTCTATAGGGGTCGATTGTGATTAGTAGTCGTGTATGTGAATAGAGATCTGTCGTTGTATGATAAATAATCATTTTAAAGTTGCATCGTAGTACTAATCTTGATTTAATAAAAAATGCCCGAATCAAAAAGATATTTTACCCTGTTCCTTGAAAATAGTAAAACAAATTAAACATTTGTACCGTGTACTAAACGTAAGTGCATTGATTAGAAATTATTTCTATATTAAAATAGATAATTTTTTATAGACAAGACAGATTCTAAAGCTGTTCAAAGAATTATCAAACGACAGAAAAAATAAAAGGACTCTACTGACAAACAAACATAATTTTAATCCTCTACTCTACTGACAAGCAAACTTTAATTACAACTTAGTTGATAAAAGGGACTCTACTGATGACTAAATTTAAAATTAGTAAATATAAAAACTGAAAGAGATCTCCACTAACTTGTATAGATGTAAAAGATATAGAAAGGAAACATATAAAAAAGGACTCTACTGACGAGGAAACTTTAGTTTTTGATCTAAAAGATTAAAAAGGACTTTACTGACGAGCAAATAAAAAATCGAATAGTTAAAATATAATCATAAATTTTATCTTAAAGTTCGAAAGGGATTCTACTGACAAGCCAACAAAGTTTTGAAAAAGGACTCTACTGACAGGCAAACTAAAAAAGCAAAGTTTAATTTCAACTTAGAAGAAGAAAAAGGACTCTACTGGTAAGCAAACTTAATTTAGATACTAAAAGGGACTGTACTGATAAGCAAAAATATTAATGAAAAATGTTTTATGAAAGGGACTCTACTGACCAGCAAACTTTAATTTCAATCTAGAAGAGAAGAAAGGGACTCTACTGATAAACAAAATATGAATAAAAAATGTTTCTAAAAAAGAACTCTACTGACGAGCAAACTCAATTTTAATTTAAAATATTTGAAATTGGACTTAACTGGCGACCAAATTTGAAACTCGTAAATATAAAAAAAGATTCTACTGTCGAGCAAACCAAAATTTGACAAAAAAGACAAAAAGGGGACTCTACTGACAAATGAATAATGAATAAACAACATAATAGAAAAGAGACTCTACTGACAAGTGATCAAATAACTTGATAGAAATGTACAAAATTGATCTAAAAGACAAAAAAGAGACTCTACTAACGAGCAAAATTATTAATTAAAAAAAGGAACTCTACTGTCGAGCAAAATTATTAATATTTAATTTCTTGAAAAGCGGATTCTACTGACGAGCAAGGTTATAAAAAAGGACTTTACAGAGGAGGAAATTGAACTTGATTTTTTATATAAGATTTAAAAAAGGACTCTACTGACGTGCAAATTGAATATCGCCAGCTAAAAAGTAAAAAATACAAGCAGTCAATGAATGTGTGTTAATTTTAAATACATGAAGTTCTTCAAACACAATTACATGATGAGTGAAGTTGCAAAAACAATATTTGTTCAGGCGTTGTTTAACATATTTAAGTATTTATTACTCAGCAATTACTTTATTTCTCTAATGAAGATTCAAGTCCTAAATGCTAATTACAATGACAAACCGATCATGTCATATTTGAAATATGACTTTAATTACATTGTTGTTTTTAAATATTATACATATTTTCAATGCTATTATAAATATATAATATATAATTTATCTATATATAAATGTGTATAATGTTTGACACTAATAAATGTGTGCATATTTATTACCTTCCACTGTGTGGTGCTATTTTCGTATTGAGAAGTGTATTTTATCATATGGTGCAGTCCTTTTGGAAAAGTATTCAAAGGTCTCGTCACGTTCCAAACAACCAGGGCACTGTGCTCTTTTTTGTCTCTGATCTCCAAAAAACTTGCCTTGGCTGGTATAACTGATAAAAGAACACAAATATAAATATCTAACTAGATTGATACATTTATTAGATATTTAGATCTTCCACTTACCATTTTCATAATGAGAGAAATTATACTCGTATTTATTCCTGCCGAATTTATTGCTCATCGTCAGGATAAAAGTATAATATTCATATTGCTGTCGATATTGGAAACGAGTTCCTAGATCCCAAAAACAGGACTTGGTTTTTCTGTCCTCGTTGTCTTGCATGTTTGTGCAATTTGATCGTATCCTAAAAAAACAAAGGATTACGTAATTAGAAAAAATGTAAAAAAAAGGAACAGGTAAAAAGTTCTCTACCGATATCTCAAAAACAAGTAAGGTTAAAATATTTTCAACAAAAATATTTGAAAGTTGAGGGCAAAAGATGTATACCCAGCTATCACTCGTTATTTATCAGGAAAGTAGAGGGCAAAAGATGTATAACCAGCTATCACTCGTTATTTATCAGAAGATGATATGGCAATGTTTGAAAATCCATAACAAAAGTATTTTCTTTCATTGTTATTTTTTGTGAAGTTAGGGATTTTTTAACAACAATATTTGAAAGTAGAGGGCAAAAGATGTATAACCAGCTATCACTGGTTATTTATCAGGAGGTGAACGTCAATGTTTGAAAATCCACAACAAAAGTACATATTTTGTTTCGTTGCTAGTTTCTTTTTTTGGTCGTGAGCACTGTTGTTTAGTTTACCGAGACCTTAATATATTTTTTTAACCTACGTTATTCTATTGTTTTATAAGGTGTATTGTTATTTTTAAGTTAGTGAAAAAAAAAAATTATTGAATAAAAGTAAATATAAATGCTTAAAAAAAAAAACAGGAATTACGTAATTAGAAAAAATGTAAAAAAAAAATGAAGAACAGGTAAAAAGGACTGCTGCCGATATCTCAAAAACAAGTAAAGTTAGGAACTTTTTCAACTACAATATTTGAAAGTAGAGGGCAAAATATGTATAACCAGCTATCACTCGTTATTTATCAGGAGATGAACGACAATGTTTGAAAATCCATAACAAATTATTAATATTGTCTTTCGTTGTTAATTTTTTCTTGGTGAGCACGGTTGTTTAGTTTACCGAAACCTAAGTTATTTGAATGTTTTATAAGATGTATTGTTATTTTTAAATTAAATCCAAGTTTTTTTTTATATATAACCCCTATAAAAATTAACAAAAGGACCAATTGAACCTTTACCATGTCGAAGGTGTAAACAATAAAAAAGCTAGTGGTGCATTAAAGTAAATTGCTGGAACTTTCCGTACCAAAAACTAAGTTATTAAAAAAAAGCTCAATCCTAGCCGAGCAAACTGAATAATCCAAGACATGAAATATATAAAAAGGACTCTACTGACTAACTCTACTGACTAAAGGACGACGAGCAAACTGTATCCTGAACATGAAATTTATAAAAGGACTCTACTGACGAGCAATCTGAATCCTAGCCATTTGCTAAACTTTGAAAGAAAAAATAGATTTTTGAGAAATTTTGAAATTTTTGGAAAAAAAGACTGAAAGAAATATTTTTATATTTTGATTTTTTTTTTAAAATATCAGCATTTTTTCTTAGGCTTGGCTGATTTGGTGTCGAAATATCAAAGCGCGTAAGCGCCGCGTAGTCGTCTAATTGGAAACATTGTTACGGATGTACACAAAATTTGTACTTAATATTAAAATCTTTATAAAATATCTGATAATACGATGCACATATGTCTAACGTTCATTTTCGACCGCCAAATGGCATTGCTTTTTACCGAAATCTCTGAAACGGCTAGACCTGCCTTTGCTAAAAACTAATCAGCACGTCTCCTTATATATATATACACACACACATATATATATATATATATTATCTACTAATTAACTACTTTAACATATATATATATATATATATATATATATATATATATAGGAATCGAATGTTTTTTACATTATTCAAATCGGTTGAACCATGTTCGCGAAATCGTCACCGAAAATTTGTATCCGCATACATCAATTTTTTCTGAGGTATGCCAAAATGTTCAAAAACCTCTGAAGCGTAAAAATATATAAAAATTTGCATTTTGCATTTTTTCGCGATTACTAGAACTTATCCTACGTTAATAATAAAAAAAAGGTAAATTAAGTTAAACAAACCACTTTTGCAAGATATGACTTAAATAAATTGTTATACTAGATCAACGTTATATACAGTGTTATCTCTGTAAAAAATATACACATAAAATTTATATTTTGCATTAGTTGTATAATGTAGATATAATTTCGTACAACCCCTTTGAAATTAATATAATCTATTATTTCGTAAAAAACTTATTTGGTTTGGTTTGTAAAAATAACTCAAAAAATCCCGAACAATTTAAGACGATGCTAACCGAACATATTATTAATTTAAACCATAAAATAGATTTTTTCAACCCAAAATTTTCACATTTTGAAGAGAACGTAATTAAAAGAAGATTCGCTGAGGGGTTGTTTTTGCAATTGCATAACGACAAAGTCATAAACAAACGTTTTGACAATACGGCCCTGAACGAAACAAACACGTGGTTCCTTAATAGCGTGTCAAAATTTCTTAAAAATGACAAGATCCCATCGCTTTTTAAATTTCTCGTAAAATTTGAACACATGCTAAAACTGCTTTAAGAAAAAATGTGACATTTCTATCTTAAACTCCGAACAGTAAATACATAGTTTCGACAAGTTGTTAAGTTATCATGTTTATTTGTGTGTTTTACCATCTGTGATGTTAAAAAATATATATTTTATCAATGTGCACATACTCATACCATCGATTAATAATGTTTTTATATGTTATATTAGGATACAAAACTGTAAATGTTTTTTTATTATTATTATTATTGTTTTTCTATGAAATTTTTTACATATTGCTTATTTAGTTTTAATTTTTATAGTTATATTGATTGCCACTGAATGAAGGCTAAGATGCTAGCCGAAACGTATGGATTTTAAATAAATTTCTAAAATCTCCCATACTATTTTTATTGATGTAACGCTCGACTTTTTAACTCAAATTAAGACTTTTTAACTAAAATTAAATATATATATATATATATATATATATATATATATTATAATTCCTTACTTGTTTTTGGTCGTCGGCAAATAAAACTGCAAACTGTAATTCGTTTGTATATAATTTTCCTTCGGGTGAAACTCGCACAACAAATTGTCCCAGTTGTGAGAAACGCAATGGAAGTCATCAGGATCTTGTGGCGGTGCTAAAAATATAAATAAAAATTAGATAGACTCTGGCGGAAGAATATACATATATATATATATATATATATATATATATATATATATCCTTTATCCTTACTTCCTATAGTGACGAAATTCATGCAAACAGATATATCAGCTCCCGTGTCCGGGTTCTTCAATTTGCAATAGAACATCTGGTTCAAGGGTTTAGGTTTTTCGATGTACAGTTCGGCTGTCCTTTCGTCTATTATCCTGGTCAGGTTTCGAGGAAGATCCTTAGAACCGTTTGCGAAAATTATGTGACTGGAATTTAGACCTTGCGCCAGCGCCAGGTCTATAACGCATTTTATTGAGAGGCTTTCACCGTATTGCTTGGTGAAGTCTCCTGATGGAATTGTATCTGGGGAAAAAATTATGAACAAATTAGATACTGAGCAAAAAGTAATAGTAATAGATGTTCTATGACCTATGACCGATAAATTATAAATTATATATTTATAATGGCATTAAAAATATGTATAATATTTAAAAACAATAATGTAATTAAAGTCATACTTCAAATATGACATGATCGGTTTGTCATTGTAATTAGCATTTAGAAATGAACCTTCGTTGGAGAAATGAAGTAATTGCTGATTAATTAATTCTATAATATTCGTTCACACAGTGGTTTATGTTAAACAACGTCTAAACAAATATAGTTTTCGCAACTTCACTCATCGTGTAATAATTGTGTTTGAGAACTTCATGAAATTAAAATTAACATACATTCATTGACTAATTGTATTTTCGCTGGCGATATAATCTCATTCTTTGAACAGCTGTAATATCTGTCTTGCCTAAAAAATATTTTCTATTTTAATAACTTCAAAGATTTATAGAAACTACGAATAATATAGAAATAATTTCTAATCAATAAACTTACGTTTAGTACACGGCACAAATGTTTAATTTGTTTTATTATTTTCAAGGAACAGGGTAAAATATTCTTCTGATTCGGTCATTTTTCATTAAATAAAGATTTGTACTATGATGTAACTTTAAAATGTTTATTTAAAATGAAGTAAATTTATACTAATTATTTAAATCTTTATAGAATATCTGATAATTTGACGTGCATATGTCCAATAATCGTTTTTGACCACCAGACAATATTTTGTCTTTTTGGTTAAATCTCCTAAACCGCTACACCTACCTTCCCAAAAATTTAATCAGTTTTTCATTTTGTCAATACCAATAAAATGTTTTTTGAATCATTCAAATCGGACTCTCCTCTCAAAATCTGAATCATCATTTCTGGAATCGAATACATTTTGAATCACTCAAATCTCCCGTGCTCCCGAAATCGTCGACGAAAATTTGTATACGCACATACACACGCACATACATTTTTTTTAAGGTATGCCAAAATGTTCAGAAACCTATGAAACGTATAGATATGCAAAAATTTTCGATTACTATATCTTATCCTATGGGAAGTTAATAAAAAAATGAAAATTATAATAATTAAAGCATTTTATATTCAACAAACCGTATTAAGAAATTTAAACAAATTTATTTCACATTCATTGGATTATTTTTTGGTATATATAAAAAGTACTAATAAGTATCGAATAATCTCAATTTTTTCTATGAGAAAAGTAGCCATGAAACCAGAACTAATTTTCTAATTAAATAAATTGAAAATTGAATTGAAAAATAAAAAAAAAATTGTTAATTAAAAAAGTACTTAAAAATACTGAGCAGTTCTATATTTTTTATTATTTCATAACTTGTGCCCATCGTGGTGTCGTGGTTAAGTTCGCGGGTTAGCACAAACTAATCACCAACCTCGGGCAGCTTGATAACAAGAAGTATGACTTCGCTTTTTTTCGCCAGCGAAAAAGTAAAAAAAATACAAGCAGTCAATGAATGTATGTTAATTTTAATTACATGAAGTTCCTCAAACACAACTATTGCATGATGAGTGAAGTTGCGAAAACACTTGTTTAGGCGTTGTTTAACATAATCCACTGTGTGAACAAATATTATAGAATTTATTAATCAGCAATTACTTCATTTCTTTAATAAAGGTTCATTTCTAAATGCTAATTACAATGACAAACCGATCATGTCATATTTGAAGTATGACTTTAATTACATTATTGTTTTTCAATATTATACATATTTTTAATGCTATTATAAATATATAATTTATAATTTATCATTATATAAATGCGTATAATGGTTGACGGTAATAAATGTGTGCATCGCCAGTCTTACCATATTACTAATAAACATATTCAAAATTGTTATATGATGTATTTATTTTTACTTAAACGCCATCTTGTACAGTAGCAAATAAGTTTTACTTCAATCGCGTGTGAACCTTACGCGCACTCTTTTTTTTCAAAACTCTCACTAAAAACCAAAGTGTACATTCACTAAAATTAATAAATAAAAATACTCCGAGGCATAGAATGACCATGATAAATGATAAAAAAACTACAATATATTAATTTAATAAATATCAAATTTTTTCGTCTCGAATCTCACAAAATTAGTGAAAGTTTTTGCAATTCCAATTAATCTAATTTTATTTAAAAACATTATTATTTCTACTTACAACCAGGAGTGGTCCCTGCAAGTCCTCCTGCACATTTCGTAGAATCAGCACTCACCAAATCCAACAGCAAAAATAACAAAACCACCAACACAATCCCAAACTTCAGTACTTTGTCCATGATAAAACTTAAAAAAAATTTAAGTTTTAATCAAATCTGAAAAAATAAAAACACAATTTCATAAAACGTCTGCATCGTGTGAAGGAATCACAAGAACTAACATAATAAACGAAAGCTTTTATTCAGAAGAAAAACATACGGAATGCTTATCAAAGCTTTTCGAGTATTCCATTCAGTGCAAATTTATTCTGAAATTTGTTTAAATAAATTCGTTTAAATCAGCACATGCGTAACTTTTATTCTGTTCGCTCGTTAAAATCATTATAATATTATATTATCCGTTTAATTTATCCTTTATATTTTCATCTCCGATAATAAAATCGCTTCGGAGAATCGAATCGACTAAAATACATTCGAATCGATTCTCGGGATTCGAATGGAGCGATTTAAATGATGATTCTTGGGAAAAACAGTCAAGTGGATAAAAAACACATTGTATCAACAAGGCGTTTCTTTCTTCTCGATTAGTAGAAGTATTTAATATGAAATACATTGAACTTTTAATGTAAATTTTCTAAATCTAGTTTTAAATCTAAATCTAAAAGTCTTTCTTCTCGATTAGTAAAAGTATTATATTTAATTTCATTTGCAATTCTTTGAATGCAAATTTTTCTAAATCTAGTTCTAAATCTATTATTATATTTATATTTATATTTATGTTTATATTTATATTTATATTAATATTTATATTTATATTTATATTTATGTTTATATTTATATTTATATTTATATTAATATTTATATTTATATTTATATTTACGAGTTAGAATTGTGATGATTTTTTTTTTTATTAAACTAGATGTAAGTGGCATTTGCCTTGAGACAAGTTGCACGTGCTTCCTAATATGTATAAATAATCAATAAGAAATCAGATTCAGCAATTATGATAAAATTTACAACTTTTTTTGAAGTAAAACTTTTGAATTAAAACTTCTTTAGGCGCGACTAGGTTATAATACCGTACAAATGCAACGGAAATGCGTTACGGCAAATAAGAGTCGATAAGATAAGAGTCGAGTGCCAACGATTTGTCATTTGCTCTCAATGAGATCATTTCTATACGGGTCGATTGTGATTAGTCGTCGTGTATGTGAATAGAGATTGGTCGTTGTATGCGTACCGGAATCAACGTTGTATGCGTACCGATATCAACAATTAAATGGTCTTTATAAAAATATAAATAATGTTTTTCTAAGCAAAATAATTTTATACCTTTACCAATAATTTATAACTTATATTGTAAAAATACTTATCAATTTGTTCGTAAAAAATAATTATTATTATTATAATATAAGACACTTATAAATTTGTTAAAATATCATAGAATAACATAAACTATCTTAAGCAAAAAAATTATATTATAAAAGTATTGTATTAAAATACTTATTAAATTGTTAAAATATACTTACAACAAACAATTTATATTTATAAATAATTAAAATAAACTAAATATAAATAAGTTTATGGTAAATTAATTAAATAATAACTGAATATGTAATAAAATAATTAATAGTTAATTAAATTATATTAAATCTGCTAAATATTGACTTGAGCCTTATTATAATATCATTATACTGACGGCTTGTAAAATAAACTAGTTGGTTTGGTATTTAGCCTTGAGGCAAGTTACATGAACTTCCCGATATGTGTAAATAATCGACTTAATAAAAAAATATATGTAAATAATATACTTCATCAATCCTACTTTAAAAAAACGATAATAAGTTTAGCAAAGTTTGACGAATTTTTAAAATTAAACTACTTGTCGTAAGGCCGTAATATTACCGTAAGTTCTATAAGACCATACATCATGGTTCGCCAAAAAAAGTTCCATGACAATCGTCTTAAATTTTTTTTTCAACACTTAATTACAAGAAAACGGCTCGGTAGATTTTCACCTAAAATTAATCAGCATCATTCCCAAATGATATCTTTCGAACAGTTTTTGATTTTTTAAAATCGGTTCGGTAGGATGAGCTTAAATGAGGACAAAAATTTAACACTTTTTTTCAACAGTTAATTACAAGAAAACGGCTCGGTAGATTTTCACCTAAAATTAATCAGTACCATTCCCAACTAATATCTTTCGAACATGATTTTTTAAAATCGGTTCGGTAGGATGAGCTTAAATATGGACGAAAAGTTTAACACTTTTTTTTAAATTGCAGAAACGGCTTGGCAGATCGTCGCACAAAACTGACAAACGATAGTCCTCACCGAAATACATCAAATGGCTTTTAAATTTCTGAAATCGGTTCAGGCGCTTTTGAGAAAACGTCGATCAAAAGGCTAATTTTAACAAATGTCAAAAAAACTATACAAATTTTTGCTAACTTTGACGAATTTTTAAAGCTAAACGAGTTGTCGTAGGGCCGTAATATTTTAGTATGACCTAGAAAACTATGGTATCTACCGTCAAAAAAAAAATCATAAAAATCGTCAAATTTTTTTTTTTTAAAACGTTATTACAAGAAAACGGCTCGGCCGATCTTTACCAAAAACTAATCAGCACGATTCCCAACCAATATCTATCGAGTGGTTTTTGAATTTTCAGAATCGATTTAGAATTGCGGGCTAAAACGTGGGCGAAAAAATTTTCACTTTTCTGCAATTTACAACGAAACGGCTCGGCCGATCTCCGCACAAAACTCAGAGACGATAGTCCTCATCGAGATACATCGAATGGCTTTTAAATTTTTAAAATCGCTCCAGTCATTTTTGAGAAAACGTCGATTTACGGCAAAAAATCTGTTCACATACACACATACACACACACACACACACACACATACTTTTTCCAAATTTGGTCTCATTCGATTCAGAATGGCTTGAAACGTCGAGAAAACATAAAATTAGCGAATCGGATTTTTTGATGAAAACATAAACTTCTCCTTCGGGAAGTTAATAAATAAATAAATAAATAACAATATCAAAGATGTAATAATAATAATAATAATGAATTAAGGATGTTTATTATAAATAGAAATTATTAAATTTAGAAATTTAATTCATAAAATTATTTTTGATTAAATTATAATTACTTAGAACAACTTTATTAAAAAATGTTTACTAGTATTAATACTTCTATATTATTATTATTATTATTTTATAAAATTATTTTGGTCCTAATAAAATTTTAGTTATTAAAATGATTAACTAGGTGTGCATGGCACCGTGACTTAAAGCAAATTGCTGGAACTTCCCGTATCATAATGAAATATTCGAAGAATAAAATTTAGTACAAAAAATTTGTTTTTTTTGGAAAAAAAATTTTATTTCCAAAAACAATCGTGTCGTTAATACAAGCGAAAAGTTTTTTAAATCATTCAAATTGGATGTTTAGTTCACTCAAAAACTGCCATTTTTTGCACATTTAGCCTTGTATTTCCGAAACGGCCTGACCTGTCTTTACCAAAAACTAATCACCACTTCTCACCATCATTACAAATTGGATGTCCTTTGAATCATTCAAACCGGATTCACCGTTCTCTCAAAAACGCGATTTCTATTTTCTGCACTCTTTGCTCCGTATCTACGAAACGGCTAGACCTGCCTTTGCCAAAATCTAATCAGCACATCTCCCTATCAATATTAATAGAATGTTTTCTGAACCATTCTAATCGGTTGCTCCGTGCGCCCGAAAACGTGGACGAAAAATTGTACCCATACATACACTCACACACACATTTTTTCTAATTTCTGCCAAAACATGAAGATAAATATTTAATAGGAGAAACTTGCCAAAATCGTTTTTGCGGAAATTCGACTGCGATTTTTGGCTTTGGTCCAAACATGTTTTCTTCCAAAACATTTATTTTGTATATTTGTAATCAATGCAGAAAAGTGGAGTATGCCAATTTGTATTTGGGGATCAATAAATAAATATTTTATTTATATAGAATTGTTTAATTTTGAAAATTCTGCAAAACGACCCATGATTTTGTTAAATAAATAAAATTTAATTTATTTTATTAAAAATATATAAGTATTTCTTTGGTTATTTGATAAAAATATTAAGTGCAACTCAGGACGAATAAAACAGTTTTATTTTTAAATAAATTTCTGAGAAAAGTATTTTAATAAATTTTTTTATGACTCAGGATTTATTCTAATTCTAATAAATTAAATACTAACAAATTAAAAATTTCGTTATATTCTTTAATAAATACAAATATTAATTTAATTTGTTTATTTGACTAAGACATTATTAGAAGTTGATATTCAGGACGATTAAAATAATAATTGTTCAAACAAACTTTTAAATAAATGTTTTAAAAAAAATATTTATATTACAATAAATATTTGCGTGTATTTTATGAAATATCAGTAATAATTTATATTTGTTAAATATAAATATATAGTAAGTATCTTTAAAATTTAAAAAAATAATGTATTTAATTTAATTTCTAAAAAATTTTAAAAATAGTATTTATTGTTATATTAAATAAGCAGTAATTATGTAAATAATTTGCATTTTATCTATTTATTTTTATTATTTTATTTTATTATTTAATATCAGCAATAATTTATATTTGTTAAGTATAAATATTCAGTAAGTTTTTAAGAATTTTTAAGATTTAATTTTAAAAATAATTTAAACAAATCATTTTTTTTTTAAATTTATCTAATTCAATTTCTAAAAAAAATTAAAAATCGGATGTGTTATTATATTAAATAAGGAGTAATTATGTAAATAAATCATTTGCAAATTATTCACCTATAACAAATCAAAATTGTTATAAATATTTATCGAAATATCCTTTTTATTTCAAAAATTTATTATAATTTCTAATGTTGTAATTTTTGCTAAAATAATAATTGTGAATTAGTAGTGCAATAAATATCAAAAAATAAACTTAATGATTTAAACTTATGTTAGAAAACAAATTAATTAATTTGCTTAAAAAAATATAAAAATATATTTTACTCAATTTAAAATAAATTAAGTTTTGGTAAAATAATTATTCAAAATAAAAATTGTGATTAATTATTATAGTTATCTAGGATTGTTTAAAAATTAATAAATAAATAAAATTTAATAAACTGAATGGTTAGATATAAATATTTTGAATAAAATTTATTTTCTTAAGCTTAAAAATGTTTTTTTTACAAAATAATAAATTATTTATTAATTTTGTCACTTAATTGTACTTTCTCTAACAAAAAAACAAATTTTTATTATAAATACTTATTAAACTATCCTTTGTTCTTTAAAAAAATATTAAAAAACTTGTTAGTAATAATTAGTAAACTTGTGAATTTTGTATGTATTTTATGAAACATCAACAAAAATTTAAATAAAAGAATTTTCACACTTATTGAATTTAAGGGGGTCTTCCTATGTGATGAGTTGAAAAAATTGAATTTTTTTTTATTTCATATTTCGGTAGATTATACCTTTAAAAATAACATATTAAAATTTCAAATCGATATCTCAAATAGTTTTTGAGTTACAGCCATTTAAAAAGTATACATATAGTATATAGTACAACGATCATTTTATCTTTAAACGCGTTTTTCTCAAAACTGCGTTTTTCAAACTTGTCTCCATTGTATCTCAGAAACGGCTGGACCGAATTACTTGAAATTTACAGGGCACATTCAATATATTTAAGCGCATGGAATGATCTATTATCAATCAAAAATTTCAAAACTTCGATTTTTTATAGCAAAAAAACAAAGAAAAAAAACGCCTAATTTGCGATTTTTATTTCAAATGTCTATAAAACATCCAATTTTTTTTGTATTCATTTGATTGTAGTTCATTCCGTGGTTTTAAGCCTACAAATTAAAACGCCGTTTATTTTTTTTTGGTCAGATAAGCCGATCAGCCGGAATCGTGGAGACAGTGGGAGCTCTTTTTTTTGAGGGGGGGGTGTTTAGAGCGCTGTAACTCTAGTTGGACTAAATTTTTTTAGCTGAAATTTTATATTTATACTGTCCAAATATGTATTAATAAATGATAAAAAACTTGAAGCTCTAACTATTTACTGGTCGTGGAAAAAAAATTCTAAAATATCCCTAAAAAACAGGCCGTCACATAGGAAGACCCCCTTAATACAAATAAAAGTGGTGACCCCAACAAATTTTTGAAAGTTGCGTTTAAACAAGTAATTTGCGATTTAAATTTGTTAATATTTGTGAAATCATGTATGGAATTTAAAAAAATAGCAATGATAAAAAACAATATTTTATATACATTATATTATTAAAGATTTTTCTAGTAATTAGACTTTTGTTTCAGAAATGACTAAATTACAAACCTTCTGAATATATTTTCAACTTTTTACACACAACTATGCAAACAAACTTATCACTTAAAGCCAAAATCTTAAAAACAACTTTATTTACTTTAAAATTTTAATTCAAAATAATATTTTCTAAATGTTAACTCCACACAAATTTTAAACTAAAGTTATTTCAGGTCTAAAATTTTTACCTAGGTATAAATTTAAAAATGGGTATCAAAAACCTATGTCAGGTATGAGGATTTCTTGCCAGGAATTTACCTGAGAAACCTGTTAGTGAAAACAGATGTTTTTTTGGCAAAAGTTGTTAAAGGTTCATATTATTATATTGAATTTTTGAAACTGTGATTTTGGAAAAATAAAAGATTTTGACCTGGGTAGACCCCTAAATTTGGGTAAAATATCTTTGCCAAAAATATAATTATATAGGTATAAATATTGTTTGAGGCTTTTGTCCAAAAAAAAACGTAAATTGAGGTAAAAATATAAATATAAATATTGATTTTATGAAAAAAGTTTGTATGAGCCCAGACAAGGGGTACTTTTTTCAAATTATTTTGGATATTTCAAAAATTGTATAAAAATCCATAAATTTTAAAATTTGTTATCAAAATAGAGATATCATAGAATAATTTTCCAAATTACACATTGCTAATTTAGTTAAAATTGCCAGAAATAATTATTATTTTATTAATAATTATTACCAATTAGTTTCTACTCTATAAATACATTTTGTATCAAAACAAATATTAGCAGAAAAAAATCCAATATCTAATCACAATTTCTTGCTAAATTGATAATGCTCACAACCATCATTTTATTTGTATGATATGATTCATTAATTTAATTAAAAATAATTAAAATGACGCGTTTAATTGCATTTATCAATCGATAACAGAATCATAAAATAAGAATTTTTTAAAATTTTATTTAATTTTTGGGTTACAAATCAGTTAATTTTTCTGTTGCATTTCTCTATATTTACACATTTTGAGACTACCTGAAATTGTTTTTGACTAAAATTTGAATTGAAAGTAAATAAAATACATAATATAAGGTATATAATAACTTTTTCAATTGTTTGCTATTTTGTAAATAAATAAATAATTTTAGATTTATCTTATATTTGTTTTGGGTCAATTTAAAAATATTAAACTCCTAAAATATTAAATTTTATATTGGGTCTGTTAACGCCTTACTCAAAATTTTAGGTAAATGATATTTTAGCATAAATCGATATATTTTTTATTTTGGAAACTCTTGGTATCGAAACAAAAAATATTAATAAATTAATAAGACTTCATTAATTGAATTAAAATAAAAGTAGGCGCCAAAAATGCGTTAAAAAATGGTAGAACCCCAAGAGACCCCAGAAATATTTTAGAAAAAATATTATTGTAAAAATAGAGACCCCAAAAATATTATACAAAAAATGTTTTGTAAATATTATAAAATATCGACGCCAAAATGGTGTTAGAGAAAAATGCATTGTATGAAGAGACTCCAAAAATTGAAATTGAACATAATTATTTAAATTTAAAAATAGAGACTCGAAAAATATTTAAAAAAAAATATGATTGTGTTAGAAAAAAGGCATTGTACAAATAGAAACTCCAAAATTGTGTTAAAAATAGAATTATAAATAGAATGACCCCAAAAATGTGTCAGAAAAATAGAGACCCCAAAATTACATAAAGAAAATGTCTAATCAAAATAAAGACCCTCAAAATACATTAAAAAAACGCCTAAAAATGAAGACCTCAAATTGTGCTAGAAAAAGACCCCAAAATAATATAAATGGGGTTTCTATCTTTATAATGCATTTTTTCTAACACAATTTGAGGTCTCTATTTTTTCAGACATTTATTAAATGTATTTTGGGGGTCTTTATTTTGATTAGACTTTTTTTGTATAATTTTGGAGTCTCAATTTCTAATTTAAATTATAATTTAAAATCAATCATAATTTAAATCGTATTTTAATTATTATGTTTAATTTAAATTCTGGGGTCTCTATCTTTATAATGCATTTTTTCTAACACAATTTGAGGTCTCTATTTTTTCAGACATTTTTTAAATGTATTTTGGGGGTCTTTATTTTGATTACACATTTTCTTATAAAATTTTCGGGTCTCAATTTCTAATTTAAATTATAATTTAAAATTAATCATAATTTAAATCATATTTCAATTATTATGTTGGGGTCTCTATCTTTATAATGCATTTTTTCTAACACAATTTGAGATCTCTATTCGTTCAGACATTTTTCAAATGTATTTTGGGGGTCTTTATTTTGATTAGAATTTTTTTATGTAATCTTGGGGGCTCTAGTTTTAAGTACATTATTTTTCTGACACATTTCTGGGGTCATTATAATTATAATATTATTTTTAACACAATTTTGGAGTCTCTATTTTTACAATGACTTTCTTCTAACACAATCTTATTTTTTTAACACATTTACACATTTTGAATTTTAAAAATAATTTTATCAAAAATATGTGTTAGAAATAAATGCATTGTAAAAATAGACCCCAAAAATGTTATAGAACAAAATGGAGTATATAGAAACCCTAAACATTTAATAGAACAAGAGAAACTAGCCCTCAAAAAATATTTTAGAAAAAATTCATGGTAAATAGGAGCCCCTAAAAATTGACAGAAAAAATAGAGACCCAATAAGTTTTATAACAAAATGCAATATATAGAAACCCCAAAAATGCAAAAGGACAAGAGAAAATAGCCTCCAAAAATATTTTATAAGAAATTCAAGATAAATATTGCAAAAAATAATTATAATAGAAAAAAGGACCCCCAAAAATTGACAGGAAAAATGCATTGTAAAAATAGAGACCCCAAAAATGTGACAGAACAAAATGCAATATATAAAACCCCAAAAATAGATAAGAATAATAGAAAATAGCCCCCAAAAAATATTTTGGAAAAAATTCATGATAAATATTGCAGTGCTAGAAAAATGCTGTATGAAATTAGGAGCCCCAAACAATTTACATAAAAAATGCATTGTAAAAATAGAGACTCCAAAAATGTTATAGAACAAAATGGAATATACAGAAATCCCAAAAATGTAATATAAAGCCTCCAAAAATATTTTAGGATAAAAGCGTCTTAAAAATTGCAAAAAATAATTGTAATAGTAAAATGCTGTGTAAAAATAGGAGCCCCTAAAAATTGCATTGTGAAAATAGAGACTCCAAAAATAATAAAAATAATAATTCCAAATGTGAAAAATATGCATTCAAGAATTATTATTAATTAAATTTAATTATTTTAAATATATTTTAAACAAAAAGAACTAAAAATGCCTCAAAAATTTTAAGTTTGACAAGTAACCTCAAAATTTGGTGAAAGCAAAAATGTATACATATATAAATTTGTATAATTTTCTGAACTTTCTCTATTATTGACATTAATTTCTAAACACATTTAAATTTATATTATTATTATAATCCTTCTTACCTTTACAAATTTATTTCAATTCCTCAAACATCTCCATCTTATTCCATTTACGACATTTCCTAAGAAATAATTTTTTTATAGACTTCTCCGTATCGGGCACAAAATTATTTAATAAACACTTGTAATTAACCAAAACCCAAAACCAAGCACTTAAAACATCAAAATAATTAATTCAATTATCTTTTATACAATTTTTAATGATCACATTTCGAAATATATTTAGTTTTCACCAAAAAAAACATTACGTACATCCATTCCCCGTAATTCCGAGAATCGTAAACAATACCGAGAAGTAGAGAAAGGACTGAAAACTTAGTTTTACACGCACTAAAGTTATAATTTATATTATAAATGATTTAATTTGTTGTTTAGTTTGCGTTTTAATAATGTTTTGAACGTATTTGTATTTATCGCGTTATTTATCTTATTTTAAAAGTTATTTATAGAGAAACATCAACAATGTTATTTCTATCGCGTTCGACCACAGACTGAATGCTAAGGTTAAGTGTAGATGGGCGACTCTGTAGTGGGGATAGGAACTAGTCTCTATGGTGACGTGAAGTTGGCGCTTGGCGGTTTTTTTGAATTTGAAAATGAAGTTTGAAAGTAATATACGTGAAATAAATGTTTTTGATTAATTATGAAACATATGTGAATGGATATTATAAAATATATAGAAATGCAGTGAATTTTATCTAGTTTTAACCTGAAAAAGGGTGGTTTCATATAAAATTTGTGAGTTATTTGACAAAAACCAAAATAATGTTCCCCAAATATTCTATTTATTGCTAAATAATGAAATATCAAATTCAAAGTCGTTTTTGGAATGAATAATTATGAAACATATATAAATAAATATATTTATTAATTTTTTGATATCACATTATATAACGTTGTATACATATATTATATTTTTTAATGTAAACATAAATTAAGCCTAAATATTTCATATTTTTTATAATAATATTGAATAACAGGTTTTATTCTTATTAATTTTTGATGAATAAACTCATTTATATTAGACTCTATATTACTGTTTTCATGGAAATATAGTAAATTTTATTTAGTTTTACTCTATCTAACTAAAAAGGGGTGGTTCCATATAAAATTTTTGAGTCATTTGTCAAAAACCAAAAAAAATAACCCGAATTTTATAATTATTGCTAAATAATGAATAAATAAATAATGAATAAATTTCGAATTCAAAGTTGTTTTATTCAAAACTTTTATACAGGAGTGTTTAAAAGTGTTTCCTAGGAAATTTATTAAATTATATCTAGTTTCACCCTATCTAACTGAAAAGGGATGGTTTCATGTGAAATTTTTGAGTTATTTGACAAAACGCAAAAAAATGTCCCAAATTTTCTATTTATTGCTACTAAAGAATGAAATATCGAATTTATAGTTGTTTTATTCAAAACTTTTATATCAGAATATAAAAAAGTGTTTCCAAGGATATATATTAAATTTTATCTAATTTCACCCCATCTAACTAAAAAAGGGTAGTTTCATATAAAATTTGTGTGTTATTTGAAAAAAAAAAAAAATGTACCGAGTTTTCTATATGTGGCTACAATTAGTGAAAAATGGATTTATATTTTATTTTCCAATTTTTTTTTTGTGTTTTATAGGAATTTTAAGAAACATAAATATTAAATTTGTTTGATACGAGTTTAAAAAAAATTATCTAAATTTTACTTTTATAATATCAAAATCATCAGAATTATCTATATTACTACAAGTATATAATAATAATTTTCGACTAGTATCTAAAGTATCTAAAGTTTACAAAAAAATCTGTTACTATTAATAACTTGTAATTTGGATATGTTTTTTCTTGTAATATTTCGTATACTAAATTTGATAATTATCAATTATCAATTAATACTAAAATTGTTAAATTTAATACCAAAATTAATTATAATTTTGTCTTTTAATAGCACAAACAATTTTTCCAAAAAAATATTCTACATCTACATCATTTTCCACATAAATCCTTACCACAGATTCAATTTCCCAAAAACCATTAAAATTAATAACAAAAACAGATAAAAATTGAAATTTATTCGAAGAATTATTACAAATTATCACAAATAAATCAATCTACATACAAATAAGTGAATTAAACAGAATATTTTTGCGCAAAAATTAATTGATAAAAATAATTTACTGATAACTAAAATCACTAATTCCAAGAATGGAAAAGGTCAGGAGGTCTCTCTTGGGGATTTGAATGATTCGAAGGACTTTTTAGATGAAAAAATTTTTAAAAAAATATGTAAAAGACATATGTGCCTATTGGTGAGTTGCTGAGGAATTTTTTGATACATATAAATATATAAATTTGAACAGAACAAATCATTTTTGTGTGACCAAACCGATAGAGTCTCTTTAGCAAAAAAAAGCATTTGTTACAAAATTTATTTGTAGAATCTTGAAGCTGATTTTTTTTATCCTCAAGTCCATTAATTTTGCAATTAAATATTAAACATAAACAAATATATTATATTATTAAAAACAAAAAAATCTCAGTCCTAAGTCAAAATGACACCAAAAGTTTGCTCCTCAATTATCCTTATTATTTTTGCCAATTTTTTATTACCAATTTTTGGCTCCTGTGGTCCAGATTTTTGCAACAATGTCGGAATTTGTGAAATTACCAAAATCGGCACAAAATTTTGCAAATGTGTGCCAAATTATTACTTTGGAGAAAAATGCGAAAATTTGCAGGACAATTGCGAAAACGCCTATTGTGGTGGAGGAGCCGATTGTGTGTTAGTAGAAAAATATTTTTAGTTTTTTGGTAAGGTTTAAGGGTAGACTGGGTTGTTGTAGGGGTTTGTGGTGATAAACAATGCTTTAGATTGTTGAATTTTGAACAAATTTGGTGAATATTTTGTTTGTTTAGAATAAACGGTTTAAAAGTTATAGAAGATTTACGAAAGCACAATTTGTATATTAACTTATATGACTAATTGCATTTTGGAAACTAATGTTTTAGTGTCATTTTCGAGTATAACGAGTTGATGTAGGGACTTGTGATGTTAGAAAATATTGTAGATTGTTTAATTTTGAACAAATTTAGTGATTATTTCATTTATTTTAATCAAACGGTTTAAAAGTTATAGAAGATCTACGGAAGCAATGTACTTTCTGTAATAATAATTACTACGTACAAATGCAAGTTAACACACTAATGTTCTAGGTACATTTTTGAGTATAAGGAGTTAATGTAGAACCTTTTGGTGTTAGAAAATATTGTAGATAATTCAATTCTGTACAAATTTGTTGAATATTTCATTAATTTATATCAAACAGTTCAAAAGTTATAGAAGATTTATGGAAGCAATCCACTTTTTATATTTTCATGCGCTAAATGTAATTGCAAGTTGTCTAAATAGTGTTTTAGAGTGATTTATAAGTATACCGAGTTGCTGTAGGGCATTTTGGTGTTAAATAATATTGTAGATAATTTAATTCTGTACAAATTTGTTGAATATTTTATTTATTTAAATCAAACGGTTTAAAAGTTATAGAAGATCTACGTGAGCAAGTAATTTCTTCAGCTTTAAATTAGAAACTTCAATTTTTTATATTATGATTCTAATAATTTTATTTACATTTTTTATCTAGTTTGTAGTTCCAAATGTAATTAGTTTATATATTAATCATAAATCTTTTTTTTCTTTTTTTTAGATCTCATCAAGGATATTATTCCTGCAATTGTCCCCAAGGAAAAGTTGGCCTAGATTGTGATATTATTGCCAAAAACGAGCAACTTTTAAATCCAAGGATGATTTTGAATCCTTTAATTTATCTAGGAATAAAAGAAAGGTAAATGAACGTTTCGACGCTAGATTTGTGCCATCATTTAAATTAACTTCAGTTAAATTTCATATTTAACTTAAAATCTTACAAAACCATTGAACAAAAAGTTTGTAAATTAACTAAAAATAATCTGTAGAAGAAAAAAATTTGACGCTTTTGGCTTTCAATTTTTATTTATATTATATTTTAAAACAAATTTGATTTACTTTGTTATTAATTTATTTATTAGCCATTTAATCATCATCAATTTAATCATTTATTTAATTACTCTTACATATTAAATTAAATTATACTCTTATATATTTAATTTTTTAGGTTTCTAATAGCAATGGATACCAAGTTCGATTTTTCTTACAAAATATCCATCAGAGATTTTAACAGCAATTTAATTTTCGAAGCTGATACAAAAACGCAGCCAAATCTTTGGAAATTTACTAAAAATTTGCAAAATGAGGCTAAAAAAAATGGAATTAAATATTATAAAGATATTAAAGAAGGTATATGAGAGAGTAAAATTAGTAAAAAAATAGTAAGGGTATATATTATTTAAAAAATAATATATTGAAATCTAATTTAATGTAATTATTTTTGAATATTTATTTATATATTATTTTTTTTGCAGAAGATGCTTATTTTATAACAAGTGACTTATTGATAACAAATAAAAATGCTGAAGGACTAATTATGAGATTTACTTCTGATCAAGGATTTGATTTAGTAAGAGCCGACTACATTTTTCAAGTTGTTCCAAAATTTGCAGCAACTTTATCTGGATGGTGAGTCAATATATATATATATACATAAATAAATATATATATATATATATATATATATATATATATGTATAAAATAAAATTTACTACAATTCTATGCCAACAGTTATATACACTCCGATATAAAAGTTTAGAATAAAACGACTTTGAATTCTATATTTCATTCTTTATAGCAATAAATAGAAATTTCGGGACATTTTTTTGGTGTTTGTCAAATAACTCAAAAATTTCATATGAAACCACCCCTTTTCAGTTAGACAGGGTGAAACTAGATAAAATTTAAAACATTTACCTAGGGAATACTTTATGTGTTTTATTTAGACTCTATATTTATTTAAAAAAGAGAAACCTAATATTTAAAGTTTAACACTAAAAAATATTATTTTTATTTATATTATATACTTTTATAAATAATAGAGACTTTGTATCAAGTTATATAATTTAAAAATAATAACTTTTTATATATTTTATAATATGTTTCGGTATTGCTTTATAAAAGCAAATATAATCTTTTGAAATTAAATTAAATTTAATATTTGTTTTGCGTCAACTTTTCTGGTTCAAATTATGAATAATAGAACTTTATTTTAAGTTTATTTATTCTTTATCTAGCTTTGAAAATAAAAAACCATACAAAAATCAGTCTTTAAATATTATTAGAAAATATTAATTGTATGAAATTACAAA